GCTTCCGAAACAAGGCTGAGCCGTTGGTGGAGCGGTTCACCGCCGGGTGACAGGCGTAGCTGCACGGGTTCCAAACACAGGATGGCGCCGATGACGCCTGCATCACAACCCGGTGAAGCCAAAGCAACGGCTAATTCCAGAAGTCTGCCGTCGCACAGGTTCCTGGACTCGAGTAACTACTGCTGCACATTACCGGTCACAAGGGTTCTTGTGGAGGATTACCCGACTGCGCAGGATGAAGGATGATGCTGCGGCCGTACCCCACGCGTGCCCAGGTGATTCGCGAACCCGATAAGTACGGCGCTAGCGAGTAGCCGCGCATCTCCCCAGCTTCTTCTCCACTTTAGATAGTGTCTCTCTCTTGCTTATCTGCAAAACCCCCGATGATTCTACTCGTTTTTGCTTAGCAGGCCACCTTCTTCTTGCATATGAGATCACCAGTTGCCAGCGAGCTTGCCCAGGGAACCAACGCTCGCACCAGTCGCGGCAGATGGCTGAGGCTATCGCTGTTCCGTCACCCTCGTTCGTGCTAAATCCTCCGGAATCCGCTCCGATCGACATCAAACCCACTAGAAAGACGGCGTCTGCTTCGTGTCCAGCACCCAAGAAGGCTTCCGACACTGCTGGCGTTACCAAGAGGAAGCAGTCCAAGAGCCGTAATGGTATGCTCACTCTCTGTCGACTCTTGCCGTCTACACGACAGCCATGACTTGAGGCACTTCCGCTAAGCATTGTACTAACGTGTCTGTACAGGATGCGTTACCTGCAAAGCAAAGCGCCTGAAGTGCGACGAGAAGAAACCAACATGCGAGCAGTGTGCCAGGCGCGCAGTGATCTGCGGTGGCTACAAGAAAGACTTCAAATGGAGACCGTTTGAGGAGCCAAGCAGCTCAAACAAAGCACCCCTCAAGTCGCGCCAAGGTCAGTTCGTCGGCCACGATTTGAATACACATCTGACAAGTCCAGGCTCAGGTCCCCAAGTACCGACGACGTCTATACCCTCGCAATCTCAAGGCCACTCCAACTTCCAAGACCATCAATATGCCTTCACTAGCACATCGCACAACGCGTACTATCCGCCACGTCAACATCCGTACCCCTTCATGCATGGCCCACCTATACAGACATCCTTCTCACAGCCCTCATTTGTACCCACTGAGAACCTCTTCGCCGTCTCGGCAGCCTCACCCTTTATCGTCCCTCCTATGTCCATATCGCCTGCAGGTTCATATGCGCCGGGATCATTCGGGTCACAAAGCGTCTTGGGGGCCGAGAGCACGACCACTGTGCAAACAAAGGCCAACACCGAGTCAAGTGCATCTCCTGGCCAGTCACCTGGACTTCTAGACCTTCTCGAACCAGGAACTGATCTCAACGAACCACCAGAGGAGTATTCCTCTTTCGTGTCTCAACATGAGGCCTTTTACCAGCCCACAGGCCTAACACCCCCAGCTTCAATGGAGGAAGACGGGATTGAAGAACTAGTGCGCGACAGTAATGGATACCTTGCAAATTTCGTCACGCGATTACCATCTCCCTCACCATCGAGCTCTTCAGGATCTTCTTCGAATTCTCCCGATTTCAAGATACCTGCCCAGGTACAACTATCTCTCACATCGGCGGAATCAATTACACGACGTTACGACAGAGATACTTGTGGTGTACTCTCAGTGAAAGATGGACCCACGGAAAACCCATGGCGAACTCTTATCTGGCCTCTCACACGAGACTGCCCAGCACTCTACCATGCGATCGCATCCATGACCTCCTTTCACCAGTCGAAAGATATGCCCACCTTGCGTATTCAAGGCATCGATCATATGCGAAATGCTGTACATGCACTAGCTGCTGGCCTCCAAAATATGCGTGTTGATGCAGCTATCTCTACCACACTAGTACTGGCTTTTGCCGAATCATGGGATCAACATATCAGCACAGGCATAAACCACATCAAGGGGGCCAAGATTTTGATCAACCAGGCCCTCGTGCAACATCGCCACAAGCCAAAACATGGCGAGGAATGGACGCGGCTAAAGTTCCTGTGCAACACATGGATCTACATGGACGTGCTTGCCCGCTTAACGTCCGCTGATGATGACGAAGCATACGATGTAGACACTATACAGGAAAGTATATATGCTACTGGCGAGACAGAAACTACGCTTGACCCTTTGATGGGCTGTGCGCATACACTTTTCCCGATTATTGGCCGGGTAGCAAACCTGGTCAGAAAAGTACGGAAGTCTGACAGTAATGGGCCTACTATCATATCACAAGCAGTGCAGTTGAAATCTCAGCTCGAAGAATGGGCTCCCCCTTCTTTCATCGAAGATCCCGAAGACGAGACGACAAGCCCACATGACACGATCAAAACTGCACTAGCTTACCGAAATGCCACACTACTCTACCTCCATCAAGCTGTACCGGAAATTCCATCGGAGTCACCTAGTGTGCTCGCAAAGAGAGTACTTTGCGATCTGGCCACGGTACACCCGCGCTCCCGTTCAATCATCGTTCATATTTACCCACTGATGTCCGCTGGCTGCGAGGCAGTTGAGCCGGACGAGCGCGAATGGGTCACAGAGCGCTGGCGCTTGATGTCCTCGAGAATGAAACTTGGAATTATAGAACGATGCTTGGAAGTTACAAAAGAGGTCTGGAGCCGACGAGACGCCCGCGCATCAGAGCGTGTGTTACACTTAAATGATATGCGCAGCCACAGTTTCTCGCCAGACGTTGCTTTGGAACACGAGGACAGCGTCTTTTCTAGTGACTTTGACGGGAACGGCGACTTCTGTTGCCAAGAGACATCGGACTGGAAATCGGCGTTACCTAATGATACGGAGAACCTAGACGGGATTGTTACAGTCAAGGATCGCCTGCATTGGTTGAGTGTCATGAAAGAATGGCAGTGGGAGATCCTGCTCGGATGAACATCAGCCAGGCTCGTACTTACTCACTGCCGCGTCCACTACCTCTTCACGCGGTATCACAAGGAGCGGCATTTCTTTCGGGTCAGCGAGTCAGTAACTTTTGGTGCGACTGTATCATGATTCACGCCTGAGTTTCACAGCGTTTTGCAGCCGCTGAGTTGAGCACACGCGTCCGCATTTTGGAGTTACATCCATTTCGCTTTGCCTCTTGGGGAGTTTGCATCACGATATAAGGAACTGTCGTTCAGCATTTTCCAAGGCTTGGAGGAGCTTATTAAAAAATCGCCCAAGAAAGCGCGATTCAGGGAATCATGCCTTGAGGCCGATTGTAATGTTGGAGCTTCCCGGCTCTTCTCAGCATATTGCTGCAACCATATCGATCCTACTTAATCGGTCCTCGTTCGCACGAATACTATGCCATCCAGTTTGATTGGCGAAAATGAATGGTTTAGTCTGTTCTGAGAATTCAAGGACCTCTCTTGGTTTCAGAATGTGTTTATTTAGCTGATCGGTATGACGCGATCGTTCAGGTACACATGTGCTACATGGGCCCCAGTGTTAACGTGCCGGCGCAAGACACACTACACCCCGTCTCGAGATGGGTTACGTCTTTGTAGACAATCCGGAATGAAGACACGCTCTTGTATACTACAGTGGCGGCGCCAGACAGGTGCAGGCTGTCAGAACGCAGCCACTGACTGCAGTACTCGCTGTCAAGAACAGCCAACCGTGACACGGCGTCACAGCGCTACGGAACGCATGAGCCGTGCTCCAAGGATCGATCATCAAGTCTGGAGACGTATCATAGGCAGCCAGATTCGACCTGTTACGTCAAATATGCAACCTATCACACTCATCATAAGATGCCTGTCAAGCGTTGCACACCACGTAGTCGTCATTCAGGTCAGCCTCTTACCCAACATAGGCTAGCAAGCTGCAGATATCCGACGTGCAACATGAATCTGCATGGGCAACAGAACTATTATGCCCCCGGGACCATGTTGAACGAACATACGCAGCAAGGGCCGAGTCCTGTGGCATATTACAGTAGTAGCAATGCATACTAGGAACGCCTCGCACAATCGGACGTTTAACAAGTCCCGGTATTCTCGCTTAGATGCCCCGAGCTCCAAGCACCAGATTGCAGATACGACAGAAGGCCGGACTGCAGATACGGCATTGCGTTATCGTAAAAAGACACAGAGTCTCGGGAGCGCCAGATCATTCAGTCACGATTGTGTATCGACATAAAACAATTATGCACCAAGTGTGGTTCTGAGCATTCCGAACGACCCAAGCTAATTCCCTCAGTCACACTGTCAAGTCAGATTTACGCGTCATTCTTCAACTCTTCGTGATGACCAAAGAAGGCAAATCTCCAGCAGGTACCCGCCTTCTGTTCTAAATCTCCTTTTGCGCAGGACACCCTGCAGAACTCAAAGAAGTCGTGCACCATCTCAGTAACGATCCGAATTACAACGTAATTGACGGGAATCTGCATAGTTGAATTTATCAGATATGCAGGTACATTCTTTCCTGGATTTTTTAAGCCAGAGATGGACTATGACACATCAAGGACAGGCGCCTGACAGCCCACTATATGTACCACGGAACACCAGATTCAACAGGCATCAACCACGTCCACCACGCTACTATCGTAGTCGAAAGACTCAACGGATGCACAGATGTGTTTGATTCAGGGGCACTATTGGTGGCGTATTGCGCCGGAGAAAAACAATCTCAACCACGATACACGCCTTCTCACCTGATGTGATCGACACATTGGTGGCGTCTTCGCCTCACGTTTCACCTTGAATACTGATCTCATAGAGCTTGCATTGCGAACCGTACCAAACTATTGCCGAGGGTGTGACTGTGAGTGTACTACAGATATTGCAGCCTGGAAAAGTGGAATAAAATTGAAGTTGGACGAGCATTTATAATGGTCTCATTGTCTGAAAAAGACTAATGAATAAACCTTCTGGGATATATAATAGTAATTGCCAGGATGTGATCTAATGCGCGATTGTTTTCTCCTACTACGGTGTCATCTTGCGTTGTCTGTCTCTAATGCTCAGTACCAACTTGAGGCTTTGTCTCAATCACCTTGACCTTGGAATTAGCAAGCGTGATCGTCTGCACCCAGTTTCGACCCAATTCATCTGCAGCGGCCAGCCGCACCTTGAGTCTAGCGATGCGCTTGTCAGACTTGGACTGACGGCAGCGCAAGAACTCGATTGTTTTATCCTTCGCGTGAAGCTTAGTCCAGTGTATAAGAACGAAATCGTTGGGTCCTTGCTGGCTCTGTTGCTGCTCGCCCTCAAACATTGTGAGATGTTGCTTCTGCTGATTTTTCGACTTCGTCTAGGTAACGTCACGTTTAGTAGCCGCATCGTGTGCTTCCCCTAGTTGCTTTGACAGATCCTCAAGCTGAAGCTTCAGGGTGTGTATTGTTTCATTGCTAGCATCGTCGTTACGACGAATACACTCCTTGAGCTCCTTCTGAATCCCCTTTAGGTCAGTGATCTCGCTATCCCTATCAATGAGTGCTTCCTCCAAGTCAGTGATCTCGCTTTCCTTGGCAGCGAGCGTTTCGGAGGTTTGCTGGAAGAGGTTCTGGTTGAGCTCAGATTGTTGAGTCAGCTCTCCATTACGCCTTTGTAGATGAGCATTGTCCTGAGCTAGCTGATCGTTCTCCTGTGAGAGAGACGCGAATGAGAGAGTGATAGAAGAGGTGGTCGATGCCGATGACAAAGCCACTGCGGAGTCGTTGCGACGAAGTATCTTGTCGAAGAAGCTCAGCTGCTGAGGTTTAGAGGTGAATTTAGCGGACATGCTGCTAGGTTTTAGGGTGATTGCGGTATGAGACGTTGGGCTACTGATCGTCAAGCACCGGCATATGCGGTACTTTGGAGGATACAGTAAACTCTGAACCAAGTGCCTAATTCTAGCTTTATGGAAGGTATATGTCGCTCAATAGGATAACCTTATAAGTATCATGCTTAGAATGTGTGTAGTAACAATGTAGAGCATTGTCCGTCCACCAGTTCAGTAACATAAGACATTGTCATGCACTGGAGCTAAGAAGATGTTCAAGTGCGGTAGAGAACATGATGTGATTCTAGGCCCAAAGGCCGTTGCCGAAGAGGAACATCTATCAACGGACCAAAGACAGATAAGAGAGAGAAAAGAGGGCAGGGAAGACAACTACACGACACGACCCAAAAGCTCTTCAAGCCTCCTTGAAGATTCCACTCCACTTGTCCTCCCCAACGCGAAGAACCACCACCTTGTCTGGCACGATATGCGTCTGAACGAAGACGCACTCTGCCCTGTCCTGGAGGACCGCCAGTTGCGTCTCCACATCCCCCTCCAGCGCGCAGACTTCCGTCTCCAGGTGCTCAATCTTGGCGGCCGCAGCCTCTCCCTCTTTCACCAGGGCGTTGTTGCGCTCCTCCAGGGCGGCGTTGCGCTCCTCCAGGGCCTTGACGCAGTCCTGGTACTTCTTCTCGATGCGCGCAAGCACATCTGCTGCTGGGCCAGATGAGACAGCGGGGTGCTATACAAGATAGTATGTCAGTGCTGACCTGGAAATGACAGAGATGCTTGGAGGTACTCACGTGAGTATAGACAAGGATGTCTAGGAGCGCGGCATCGACATCGTAGTCGGGATTTGGCTGGAATGGGGCTGAGTAAGACATTGTTAGATGTGTAGTCTTTAGAGTTGTTATTTTTGCAGGTTTGAGGCAGAGGTTCGACTGTCGTAGCAGGTATATGAGGTATTGCGAGGACAGAGAAACAGCAGTAGGACAGGAGGTTGAGACGCTTATATGATAGGTATGGAGATGGGACGAGATGGGTGAATGGTGAAATGTCACTTCAGGTGAAAGGGGATATCTTCGAGGATGTTCAGTTTGGGCTATACCGAAGCTACTGTGCTACGCTCTCTCGAGCTGGATGTATGCCCTTGCTTCTTCACCTGCGGCTCTTGTCTTGTTCACTTGTTCTCTTTCTGTTTATATACTCATGCGCCCTTTTGTACAAGGTCCGCGACTTGTTGTTCGATGCTCTTGTCGTCCAGACCCTTTAGCGACAGCTTCCTCTCCTTTCCAAAGTCTGTTCCAGATTATTAGCATTATGTCTCCTGTATTTTTCCTTGGGTGTGACGCACCGAATCGCGCATATACGGTGGGCTGGGTGCCGCTGGCTTCGCGGATCATGATGGGAACGGAGGGGTTGGCCTTTTTCATGGCGGGGTAGCTTCGTGTAAGGAAGTTCCTGTATGTTCCATCAGCCCAGCTCGTTCGGTGCTCTGCGCATCGTGTTGCGCTCCTCACTTGGGTGTCGCATACCTTGTGGCGGCGCTGTGCTCGCTAGTCTGGCAGAACAAGAACCTCAGCTCCTTGAGGCCATTTCCAAATGCTTTTGACGCCATTGTAAGGACCGTTAATGTGGTGTGGGGGTATCAATCGGTGTCTGCCGTCACCCGCGCTGCAGCGACATTCAATGTTGGTCGGAAGCTGCCAGGAACACGCCTTGCCCGTTTCGGCCTGGCGAACCGGAGCAACCCCATCGTAGTTCCGGATTTATCATTCACCAAGGCTTGAGCCCGACATCGCGACCGCACGCACACGACCATCGTCCCGGACTCAGCTGCACTCCGGACGCCTCAATTCCTCTTCTGCTCGCATCGCCAACTTGGAGAGTAAAGGACAAAGACGGCCATCATGTCGTTCCGCCCGGGCTCCCGCATCTTCAGCTCCTTCCGACCCTTCTTTCAACGCGCAAATGCCCGCCGACATGCCGGCACAGCTGCAGGCGCTGAGCCCGCTGGCTTCCAAAAGTTCTGGAACAGCCCGATCGGACCCAAGACTGTCCACTTCTGGTACGCTTCCTCGACATGACCTCCATCTTCCTATGCGATGCGATGCGCTGCAGCTCCCCGCTTTGTCCGGACCGCATCCGCAGCAGCGAACACACAAGTCTAACACTCTCACAGGGCCCCAGTAATGAAATGGGGCATGGTCCTCGCCGGTGCCTCCGACTTCTCCCGCCCCGCTGAATCTCTCTCCTTCACCCAGAACTTCGCTCTCATGTGCACAGGCGCCATCTGGACACGATGGTGCTTCGTTATCCGCCCCAAGAACGTTGCCTTGGCTGCTGTCAACTTCCTCGTCTTCTGCGTCGGTGCTACACAGGTTGGCCGTATCTACGCCTACAACCAGTCTATCAAGGGCACTGAAGGTCAAGCCAAGGGCGAGATGAAGGATCTCAAGCACACTGCTGAGAAGGCTGAGCAGAAGGCCGAGAAGGCTCTGAAGTAAATCTGGGACAAGGAAAGATAACGAGGTGGAGGTGAGAGGTGGGCTTGCAGCCGGAACGCTGATTGTTGAGCGTGGGCTGATTCGAGCACGGCAAGAGCTGCATGTACATCTATCATGGAATTGTGTCAAAGCATATATACCGGCGCGATATAGTGAATGATACTTCTTCGCTTCAACCAGTAAAGAAGTTCAGCAATCAAGTTCTTTAGACCCCACAGCTTTCGTGTACGCCATTTCCTACCTGACTTCATGTGCCGTCCCACATCCTCGCCACAAGTACCGGCCTAACGACACAGAAATCTGGTACACGCAGCGTAGATTATGATGCGCTCTAGTCATCAAGGTTCTTGGAGACATCATGAAGAGATATATTACGCTTTCATCATTAATTATGCAGGGGGGATCCTATCTCCACTGTGCTACCAGACGAAGCAGTTCCTCGGACACTAGGCTTTCAAAGGTTTAATGCCCATCTTCACCCATGAATTGGTTTTCATTTCCTACATCGATCTGCCTTTCATTTCCATACGCACGGATGCATACGCGCGCCTATCCTAAGCCAGTACCTCATACTTCTTCCATCCTCTCTGCCTCCTCGATAATATCCGGAGCCCTCTGCACTACAGAAAACAAAAGATTTGGGACCAAAAGGATGACCGCCTACAGGATGCAGACCCTTCCTCGTCATTACCGTCAACTTGGAGCGATTCGAGTTGTGCAAGAGCATCGTCGAGCTCAGCGGCGTGTTGCTGGAGAATGTCATCAGGCGCTCGGGATTCTAGCGCGGAAGACGCCGTGACAGGCTCTGTAGCAACTCCTCGTCCGTGAGTAGATCTAGCGAGGATAAGGGTATTGAGAAGCTCTGCAGCGCGGGGTTGGGGTACAACCTCTGGAATGCTGATGAGGTCTTCCAGAGACGGGCTCGGCTCCATAGGCTCGCGTCGTTTGCGTCTGAATCGTTGTCTAAATCTACATGTCTTCTTCTTAGGTATCAGACGTAGAGGCGATGGGCGTGGAGATGATGAACTCGAAGATGACGCGCGAGGAGACATGGGATTTGGGGACGTTATACGAGGAGATATGGGACGTGGAGATGTCGGATGTGGAGCGTCGGCGATCGGCTCGGGTACAGCAGTTGCTGGAAGCAGAGAAACTGTGTCATCCTCGTTGGTTGTGTCCAAGGCGTTCATTGTCAACTGCTCGTCTTGTGGCAGAGTCGAGCTGGTCATTCGCGCTGGTACCGTGTCGTCTTTGGTATCTGATCCTATGCTCTCGCATGCGACCACCGCATCACCGTCACTATCGTCGTTGATAGAAGAGCCCATATCTTGGGATGTCATCGTGATCCACGAGCGCAGTGAATCGTTGTCCGGGGTGCATAGATCGTCGTCTATGGGACTGCTCCACGAACTCCGTCTGGAATGGCCCTCTCCAGATTCATTGCATTCTTCTACCGTGCTCATAGCCGGTGAACCACGACCGCAGAACTTCAAAGTTGGCCGACCTCGGACCCTTGACAACTGGACCTTTTTTGCAGAGTCCCATACAAGAGCCTTACGACAGCGAAAGCAATGTTCGATTTTACCTTGAAAGTTCCATTTGGTCACTTCGTCTCCGCAGAGGGGACAGATTCTGCGATCTATTCTTGTGTAGCAACAGTATATACGTTTATATTTCATGCGTCGTGATATTCTAGGCATGATGGGTGGGCGGATGGACGTATGGTTTATGGAACAGTGTATCCCTTCGCGAATGGGTAGGTGCGCCTCCGACTGCAATAGCTACAAAGCGAACGTCGCGAGCGAATGCTTAACAGTAACAGTGGTCGTTCCTGAACGCTAAGGCCGGCTTTGAAGTGTAATGAATGCGCTGCGCCTTGTTAGCAGAGCTCTAGATCGTTGCCATGGTCTAATACCTCTGATAGTCGTAGAGATGAAAATTGATACTGGCAGATGGTAGCGAAGGTGCTGCAGTAATAGTGATATGGTAGAAGTTGAGTGGAACGTCGTTGTGTGAAATATAACAGACAGACAAGAATCGGGCCCGTCAGCATGGCGGCATGCACGTGCTATACATTCTTGAGAGTCGTGTTGGCAAGTGCTCCATGTCGTTTGGTCATACGTTCAAGGTAATCGCATCCGCTCTATCGTGCATCGTTATGGCACCGTCCGATTATTATTCCAACTCCACTTCTCTTTCTCGTGTGCGCAACGCCGAACTTCGGTTGCCGTCCTCTGGTTCTACGATGACCCAAAGACAAGTGGCGAGCCACTAATGACCATCGCAATCCAGAGGATATCTCAACAGGGTCATATTCGTCTAATGAGAGACATCGCGAACCCATGAAGGCCCCTCCCCACTCTTCCCCTCCTTTTTGACGACTCCCATTAGGTACAAACCTTGATACATTCGGTACAGCAGTCTCCACATCCGTCCCCACAACTACTACAACAATCTCCCAAGCAATCTCCCATACTGGCAAAACAAGCAATGATGGCTTCGATGCACCAAGGTCCTGCTAACGTGCAGTCGAGCCGCTGAATGCATCGTGTACAGCAGTCTTTTGGTTCATTATGCTCAGTTGTGAACTCCTCTGTATTGGCTTCGACTGGGGCGTAATTCATCTTGGATGGAATTGGTGAGATTGGCTCAGGGTTTGGGTGAATTTGGTAGTCGGTGGTAGGTGCTAAACGAGACCCCCTGTAGGATGGATGATGTAAGAACAGATGAGCTTGTAAGGGAGAAACAACGATGTATGCTAATAAGAAACGGAATCGCGACCGATCTAGATGAATTTGACACGTTGTAGAGTCTTTGTTCACTGCGATACGAGTGGGATGCACGACATTTAATTTTCGACTCGCGAAGTTCAAACGCGCTTCGCGTGAGGCCACCCACGGACACACAGCCACCGTATCGGCTAGTGGCACGTGGCTGCGCGCGCCGATCGAATGAACAGCCTGAAAAACCACACAGCCTCTGCGCGCAATGATTGCATCAGAACTCGGGGTTTGCGCTTTGATCGTCATGGCTCGTTGTGATAGGCCTTAAGGGTAGGTATATGCTATTCCTGTCTCGCGGGATCCTCAAACAGGTGTGTGATTGGTAACGCAGAATGCTCGATGTAAATTAACAGTAGTATTCATTCACTATTTGGGTATCTTATATATGCGCCCGCAGTACTCGCCAGTAGCAAAACTAAACCACATCTCCCCACGCGGGAGGAAATGTAACAATTTGTGAAAGGTGACAAAATTTTCCAGCTTTGGCAGATCCGAGCATACCATCGTGCTTCTCTACACCCGGATTACGATGTTGATACCCAAGCCTCTAGCTTGTCGAATGGAGCAACCCAAACAGGTGCGTCCTACATTGCTCACGATTGCGTGCAGGCCCTTTTCCGCACACCAGGCTCGTGCGAGCAACTGAAGATCTGATGAAGTCCGAGCATCAAGTACGAGCACGGATTTCTTACTATTCTTGATCATCTCTTCTGTTTCGCTGTCGTTGCTTCGTGAAAGATCGAGCAAACGCTCCGTAGACTTGGACGTGTGAAGCTCGAATGGCAGCAGGAAGTCAGGATCAAGGATATCAGTGACTGGCACCATCTTGTAGGTATATGACTTATGCAGAGGATGCGCGTTCATGGGCTTGCTGCTTGTTGCGAGCGTTTCGGCTTCTGGTCCAGTAGGTGGCTCGTACATGCGCTTCGGTGTAATATCTGCAGCGTCTGGAGGATGTGATAGGAGTGGCTCGAAGCCATGGCTGTTGCGGCGTGATAATGTCACGCTGTGTTTCGAAGAAGATCGCGAAATATTTCCGGTAACCGAACGTCTCATGACCTTGGGGCGATGAGTCAACGACGGAGGTGCAGATGCTGCAGTGGTACAGGGGAAAGAAGTGATGAATTGGACATCGTATGCCAGAGTGAGAGTGTGGCTCACTACCCCAGAGACAAATGTCATCGACGGGGCATGGATATCGCTGTCAGTTGGTGGGCCTGTCAAGCTGTCACCATCGATGAGGTCCGTGTTGATTGGAACCAGTTCCCACTGCAAGAAGGCGATGGAAGAAGTCGGAGAAGAGTCAAGATCTTGAGGGAGCACAAAGTCCTCCGATTTTGTTGAAGCCAGAGCGTCAACAGGCACAGTAGCTGACTCTTGAGCGACTACGTCCAAACCATCTCTCAATCGCAAGCGGTTTTCGTGGGGAAGGACTTCGCTGTATATCGAGTACCAACGCTCGCTGGGGCTGTCGGGTACCTTTGGACATGAGATCCAGCCCATGCACTCTGTGGAGCCTTTGACACAGGCTAAAATACGCCCGACGACAGAAGTTTTGCTCCAGAATGTTCTCTCACCAAAGGTAAACCCGCCGTAAAGATTCGCCGATTCTCCTAGGTTGGCAATAGCAGTACTGTCATTCTCAAGCAGTGTCGATACAAGAAAATGCGAGATTGCTTCTCCGGGAAGGATAAGACCAGTTAGGTATGACCGACTGAGCCATCCTCCAATGTTAAAGTTGGAGTTGGCATGGCTCTCGGGGACTGTAGAGATGGGGGACAGTGGCATGCGTAATGCGCGAGAGTTGTTGCGGTTCAGGGCAGGCTTCCCAACATGGCCAAAGTAGCTGTCTAGCTGATGACCAGAGGCGAGCGGTGTTTGCAACGGCGTTCCGTACACGCTGATACCAGAAGGAGTGGACAAGTCAGGCATTCTTCCACTGGGTGATGATGGTGTGGCGTCCTCCGCCTTGTCTTGTTCACCAAGCTTCCGAGCCAGATCCGTCGAGACTGCGTCAATGTTGGGCCACTGGAGTGTCTTCGCGAAGTGAAGCAGCCCAGAGAGTTGCTGGGATTGATGTTGTGGAAGTACGACAAGGTCTGACTGCGGTATCTCTGCGTGGGCGCCTTGACCGAGCAGCGACAGCAGTCCGCGCAATTTGGGTTTGGGTGAAACTGGTGCATCGCTGCCCCTCATGATGACAATGTTGTCGAGAAACCTCCGCGCTAGAACCAAATCCCAATCAACCTTTTTCGTCTTGATTTTGAGAAATCCTTCAATGTCCTTTGCGTCAATCTGAAGCCGGACCTGGGCGTCGGTCGCATCGGCATTGGTGAAGGCATCTAGTCGAAGCAAGAGCTCACAGGCCAAGGTGATTTGCAGCAACAGAATCTCCCGCTCCGTCCACATTGGCTGAGTTTCATGTTCGGATGTTGGCTCAGGCTCACTCCACAACAATTGCCCAAGTCTTATCCTCCACTCGACAAGGCTGAAGTCATACCAGACACCCTTCAGCCCCAAGACCCTGAGCAGGGCAACGATTTGCGTCTGCAACCCAGTGGGGTCATCTGTAGAGCCATCGTAACCCGGTGGCGTAAGAAACTTGGTGAACAAATTTGCGTAGAGGTCTCCAGCGCTCTGGTTGTTCAGAATGGTCATGGGCTCGGGACTATCTTGGAAGGCTTCGTACATGTCCTGGAACTCTATCAAACGGTCGTATATCAAGCTCAGTTCGACCGGACGAATACCCAGACGCTCGGGAGATGTTTGCAGTGCCTCCTTGTTCTTAACTGACTCGAAGGAGTCGTTGCTTGATTGAGATTGTTCCAATTCATTGGCGAGAGTGTCAGACTTGGGCAACTCGAGGAAATGTGAGAAGCCAATAGTGCCCGGTTCGACACCCTGAGCACTAAGCATGCTTGGTACTTCGACCACATCTACTCGATATCCGTTGTACTGTTTCGAAGTGTCTGGTAGCGGCCGGGTCTTGGACGGATGCTCGTGTAGGGTCGCAGCTGAAAAGGCAGGCTCGACTAGAGGCACTGTGTCGGTAACTTCTTTTGGAGCAGTGTCAATGTTCCAAGGGTAGGAGACTGTTGGTATGTAGCGGCTGTCTGTCTTTGTGACGCTAAACTGAGGGGCTCCGGCGAAGAGGGTACGGAGCTGGCCCTCGGTGAGGGGTTCGACCTTGTCTTGCATGGTTTCTTGCGGCGGCGGTGTTGGTACGCGGTCCTGCTCCGCCTCTTGGACAGGAGACATGGTGCTGCCATGGTCGACTGGGGTGCTCGATTGCTCTTGAGTTTCTACATGGTGTGTTTGCTCGGGCGGGGACTGTGGGGTCGGCCTGTCTTGCTTGGGCGGTATCTGTGATAACAAGTTTGCGATTAGCTTCCTCATGGTCAGGAAAGAGCCATGGACGTACGGGTGCAGCTACTTGGTCGTGTCGCTGTGATTGCTTTTGCTTCCAGGACCTGAAGAACTTCAAGACCCTCTGTCTCTTGCTGCCCTTCCTCAGCAGCGTTCCCGCATTCTCGTCAACCATGTCGTGGTGCAGTCTTCGCAGCATCCTGGCGGCCTGCAGCAAGGCAGGGTAGGCGAGGCATGCCGACGGACATTATAAGGGGATAAGGGGACATCAACAAAGCTCAGCAGGCTGGGCGCGACACACGGCTGCACACATGCACACAAGCACGTCAAACATGGCAGATATCCCTGCATGACAGGCGCGCGAGTCTCGATGGTTGGTACGAGGTTGCAGCTGGTCCCTGTCCCGCATCAGTCAGGGCGATCAGCTGGAATGACGTCCAGCGTATCGCGCCGACCTGCATGGGGCCAGCCCACCTGCACCACTCCTAGCTGCAGCCGCAAGCTCGTCAGTCCAAACCTTTCTTCTCCCAATCACGCCACACAGTCTACACGACAACCAAGGCAGCGTCCAAAAGTCAAAACAACGCGTTTGCACTATATCACCAACGCCCTCTAGACGCCGTTGCCTATGACGCTATACCGGTCCGCTCGCCTCCAGGTTCCAAGTCTATGAGCTGGCCCGTGCCAAGCTTCTAGAACGTGGAACCAGGTCGCTCATTTCCGCACGCCTAATCTTATCGCCTATCCAAGCAACAACACCGCGTACCGTCCACGTCGGCACCTCGAGTTTTCTATGCGACTTGAGAATTGTGGAATTGTCCCTCTGCTGCCCAATCATTAATTTTGTGCAGGAATATCTCCACACGCCTCTGATTGCTCAGACAATACCAGTCCCTGAGACTATCGTCTTGCCAACCATGGCATCTATGCCTTGACCCCGCATGTTGCAGTGGTTACACAACACCACTTCACCGTTCACCAGTCCTGCACTAGTGCAAACAATGGATTGTTGTCGCTTAACGTCACTTTTCATGATACCACAAATGCGAGACCCCGTTTGAGCTGCACCCTCAACTTCAAGATGGGTTTCCTCGATAACTCCAGGAAGACCTTAGGGACTCTCGGCAGAAAAGTGGGCAAGCACGCTGCTCCCATTGCCAACAGTGCCTCGAAGCATGCGATGTCGCTCGCCCAATCCACCTTCAACAACGCCAACCAACGTCTACCTCAACTCCTCAATGAGAAGCCCCACAAAGACTTCGACTGGAAATTTATCGATGATTTTGGAGAAGACATGGCGAAGCGGTTAAGCAGCACAGCAGACGACTTCTGGCAGAAGATGAACAGTGGTGATCTTCTCAAAGATACTGGCCAGATCACTTTACCCGAGATTGACTTCAGCCAGGAAGACCTCTCAGGGTTCAGTGAGAGGCTCAAGGATTGGATCCTTTTCAATTCTGAGCTGTTCAACGCCTTGATGGCCTGTATCATATCTGTCATCTTGGCCCTTGCCATCTTCGCCGGCACACCCACAATGCTCGGGCTCGTGGGCTTTGGACCTCTTGGTGTTGTGAAGGGTACGTATCAGTCCCCTACACCTATCCCCCGATGAATTTCTGATGTTTGATCTAGGCTCTTTGGCTGCTGGATACCAGGCTGTCGCTGGACCCATCGCTGCACGTAGCGCTTTCGCTATCCTTACTAGTGCCGGAATGGGTGGGTATGGGCTTGGGATTGTCAAAGCAATCGCCGTAGGCCCAAGTTGCATAATCGCGATCGGCACGTGCGGTATCGCAGCCGTAGCGTTTTTGAAGGCGGTGAAGGAAGACGAGCAGTGTCAGAAAGAGAAGACGGAGTAAGTGGCAATGTCAAAAAGATCTAACAAGATCAAGAACGAAGACCTGTTCAGCATGCAGCTCAGGAATCCGTCTGAGGACGATGGAAGTAATGGTCTTCAACGGGCAAAACGATCATTATACATCCCCAACTAAGCGTATCTTGTCCCAACTACTTTGTTTGTGCCATCCAATTCTACATCAGCTCTGCTTCCATCATGAAGCTCGTACACCTAGATCAAAGTCAGTTTCGCGTTCCATATCAAAATCCCACATTGACATCTTCACTTACGGGTTCTTGATGCTGCATCTCAGCTACTGCATATACGTTCCCATTGTCCTTCTTATCGTCCTGCTCCTCAACGCTTTCCGGCCGCTTGTCTTCGGGGTCAATCTTGTTTCGATTCCGCCTCCTTCGGATCAACATAGCCGCGATCAGACCCAAGAAAACCGCTGCGCCAACGCCAACACCCACTCCAACGCCGACATTGCGTCCTGTGTGCGACGTCTCCTTCTTGCTAGGTTCATTTTCTTCGGTTTGCCCAGACTGGTCTGTCGTCGCAGACGTCGATGCAGATGGCGATGCAGACGTCGGCGTTGATTCCGCACTCGTAGAAACACCCGTAGAAGTACCCGTGTAACTCGGCCCTATTGATGCACCTGAAGAAGCCGGTGCCGATGCCGCACCGGAAGAGCTCGCCTCTGTATCTTCCCCAAGTCGTTTTGGAATCCTGATTTTCTTCGTCTTCGACGAACCAGTAGTAGATATAGTCGAAGAACTACAACACTCGTTGCTATCTCCGCAACACCAAAATTCCGATGTAGGCGTCCCGTCACAAGGCGTCATCTGCGCGCTGTCATTCGCAAGATCGCCATCTTTGCAAACATTTATGCATCCTTCCCAGTTCTGGTTTGCACAATTCACCCTGTAGAAATGTGTCCATTCTGGCACTTCTTGTCCTTGTACACTGCTAAAGCCTCTGTTTTGGCAAAGCCCGTTCGGCAGGCATTCATCCGCCGTAGGGCCATTTTTAACGTCGCCCCCCGGTGGATTGGGCCATCCGGACTGGCAGCATGTATAATAGAGCGGGTCGTCAATCGATGAGGCACAGCGCGATGTTCCAGAGTCGAGGTGCTCGGTGCCGTTTGGGAGGTAGCAGGTTGCTAAGCTGGACGGGAGCGAGGTTAGGAGGAGAAAAAGTGGTAAGGATATAGATGGTTGCGAAAGCATCGTGGGTATCGTGATAGGCGTTATACTGGTTACGTTTGGTGTTTTCACGACGGATGAAAGCAAGATGGGAGGGACGCGATAAAGACGAGCGACTCCGACGCTTGAAAAACGCCTAAGATCCTACCTAAATGTAATCGTGTTTGAGACGACTCAACCTTGCACGTGTGGATAATCCCTTCATTAGCGTTGGGGACAGTGGGCTGTGTTCTCCATTTTACAATTGGCTATACGACTCAGGAGTGGCTGAACATCGTGGTTTAGGCATCCCGCAATGTCCGCACGTCCCCTTGAGGTAATTTACAGCCGATCCTACGGCTCCAACCGTTTTTTCCGGTGGATGACCAGGTACCCAGGTTAGCAATTGCACGTACTTCGGAAAGTGTATGCGAAAGAAAAAGATACATAGAAAGACTATAAACTACATGGCATAGGAAAATCGAACGAAGGGATGGGTATCTCGCGCTAAGGTAATGAAGGACCGGAAACATGCTACGTCGCGTACGAAAGGAATGTGCCAGTTTTTTGGCAGAGGATTTGCGATCTCTAAACACATGCCAAGCTCAGGCCTGCCGACTGAGCAAGAACTCGACCGCCCGATCGACCCTCAATCCGTCGCCAAGATCTGTCAATCTTAGCGCTTCTCTCGCCTGGTCGGCTGTGAACCCCATTTCCACAATGCGATATATCGCTTTGTCGGCCGTATTCTCATGATTTCGGGATCCAAAGATGTGGTGCTGTTGTTCGTGTTGTTGGACGGCTACGCTTCTGGAGCTGAAGCTTCCTGAGGACTGACTGCCTTGACGCATGTGGCGCTCGTTGTAAGGCAATGACATGGGATGAGGTCGGAACGCGGGGTGAGGCGAGCCGGGAGGTTCTGAAAGAGGATGGTGGAGTGGGTCTTCAAGAATAGAAGGCATTGAGGTGCCCGTGCTGTAGCGATACCAGTCACGGTTACTGGGCACCGTTGTGGGTGACGGTGTCGGTAGAAGCGGTTGAGCAAACATACGACGGGGTGGAGAGCCCACGCTTGATACACTGCCCATGGTGTACAGATCACGGTTACTCTGTACCGCTGATGCTGAAGGGGATGGGAGAAGAGGCTGAGCTACTGTCCGGCGTGGCGGCAACGGTGGTTGCTCTTCAATGGATGGTAGATCTGAAGTCACACTACGTCGATCATGGTTACTAGGTACTGTTGAGGGTGGAGGTGTTGGGAGCAGCGGCTGAGCAATAATTCGACGAGGCGGTGAAGACGTTCTGCTGGACGTTGACCTGGAAGCGGGAAGAGGTACAGATGTTGCCACTTCCTCCGCAGAAGCTGATCTCAGGGCTGGAACATGCGTAATGATCTCATTCCCTGGGCCTTGGGGTGGAGGTGGCGGTCGTGTCAAATTTCGAATGACAGTATCCCACTCTGACATGGGCCTTTCCTGAGACATACGAATCATTGGCCGAGGCTCACCACTCTTCTTACGATGCTGTAGATCGTGTATGTGTTTCTGAATACGGATCTTAGACTGCTGGCGCTGTACATCGCGGATAGATATTTTGGCGTACTTGTGCGCAATCTTGTCTTCGTACACGCGTCGGGCTGCTTCTTTGAGGAAGTGTTGTCGGGTACCATCAAGCACAGGGGGCTTCCAGTTCACCCATCCTTTCTCAGCTGCAATAGTGAAGGCTCTTGAATCCGAGGGGTGATATGGGCCAGTAAGCCTAACGACAGTGTCAAGGCCGAAGGTAAGAAGATAGTAGATCCACTCGTCTAGTTTGGTTAGCAAGTTCCGTGGTACGTTGGAGGGATAGACGAACTAAGCATCATCTCTTCGCCATCAATGTCGCCACCTCGAATATCAGTGTTGTCGTAGATGCCAGCTTGTCGAGCCTGAACAGTGCGCCCCTCGAAATTCTGAAGCAGAACCGAGAGGCAGGTCCATAATTCCATCATGTCAAAGAGTTGTTCGGCGGCCAAACCACCTACATTCCCTTGCCCAAAGCACTCCGGTGCACCAACCAATGTGTCGCTCATGAAATCTGTGCTCATTATGCTGAAGGTGCAGGTCGCTTGGTGCGCTAGCATACCGCCATTGAGCCAGTCCATCTGGGCAACGATATCCTCCTCACGTCCTTTTCCTGAGCCAAATATCTTGCAGAAGGTCCAGATACGCCACAAAGCGTCATCGACCCTGGCCGACTCGGCTGGACATGCACTCACGAGCGCAGCCGATATTTCCGGTCGAACGAAGGACTGGCACTTCTCCAAGATCTCTGACTTGATGGCACGTATGACTTGGATGTCTCGCTTCTGAAGCTTGAGATATGACGCGGGGTTATATTCATCTTCAGGTCGTGTCGTCTCCAGGTCTTCTGCATGTAGATGGTCGTGTCCGGGAAAGGCAATCTCCCTGAACTCCCAGGCTGGCGGCGACATCTTCCGCAGGGTAGATTTGATGAGATCGAGTTCATGGCGTTTGAACACGCGGTAGAAGCCTTGATTAACAAGAGCCGCGGCAAAAAGATCGTTGAAGTGGTCCAGGTGTTGGAAAATACTGAGTATAATCTCCTCAGCTCCAGCAGGCGTAATAGTCGGCTGGGTGTCGTGCGTTGCAACAGGAGGCGAGGAGAATACTAAATCCACACTGGATCTTTTAAACTGCGGAATCATAAGGGTCAATGCTGTGCTCGATCGGGAGCACTGTTGCATCATCTGCGAAGCGATGTGGTTATTTGGCAGGCAGTCAACTGCGATTGTCTTCTTGGCAGCCGATTGTCGCCTGCTGGATTTGCGAGGGACGACTGGAGGTGGAGTGTTAGGTAGTACGACATCGACCGGATCTATCCGGGGCTGGCTCTCAGTATCAATCAATTTCCCGCCCTCAGCTAGAAGTTCATGTATGTCCTCCCGGAAAGGGTTGCCTTCTGCAAGGGGCATCCGATCTTGGAGACATGTCCGAGGATCGCTATTACTATCAAACGAAGAAGCCAATTGAGCGTGCAGGTCGCACTCAGCCTCACTGAGCGTAGGGCTAGATGCACGTGGAGGTGTTGGAAATGCTCCAGATGCGGAGGAGATCGCTTCGTTGACCATGGTCATGCCCGCGTCCGCGGTAGAATTCTCCCGCGGACCGCTCCGTTTGGAGGACTTTCGGCTCAATCTTGGCTTGCGCTGTGTAACATGTAGGGCACAAGTCGGTTCAAAGAGGAGGTCCTCCGCGCTGGAACATCGGTGGATGTATGCTCGAGGTGGCACCGTCGGTGGAGCATGACACTTGACCCCTGCTGAATTTGTTGTGGTCCTCGAGGAAGAATACAACGATCCTCCAGGCACTATAGTCTGGCCACTTGGAAGATACACCGAATGTTGTAATGACTTTTCTTGCTTGGGAGAACTATCGTTCTCTATGCTGGTCTCTGAAGAGTGATTGCTATGCAGCGATGAGGCGTCGCTTTCTTGCGATTCATTATTCGAGCTATTCGATTCGAAGCTGCTCTTGGGATGCTCTGGGTTGTGGCGCTCTGATCTTGGTATACACTGCGTTTGCGACTGCGCAAGTGGAGACAAGATAGAATCCCGCATACGATTGTGGCTTGCTGATGGTGGCGATACTTCGTGGTTGCCTTCGAGCTCGATGGGGGATGAGTCGAAAAATGGAAGAGCGGGAAGTGGTTTTCCACAAGGGATTACTACTTGTATCTTAGGCTTTGGGCTCGGGTGCTTCTCTCTGCTTGGGTTGTTTCTCTTGTGGCTGACGGGGGAGCTGCGATCCTTTCTTCGCCATTGGATCTTCCCGTGTTTGTAAGTTCCAATCGCGCCTGTAAGCGATGCGTGGCTCGATATCGACGTTTTCTCTGCCGTAGGACTGGCTCCCGTCCCTGCATCTAGCGAAGGATTGCGCTTCCTCTTTCTGCACGGCTTACGCCAGATAGATGCTGATCTTGAAGGGGTTGGTACAGTAGAGCTGGCTGATAATGGTGAGTTGCTATCATCTGCAGACAGCGGAGCTTGCATTGCTGTGTCTTGCTGACGAATGTGGAGACCCGCTTCATCTTCCGTGCTCGCTGGAACTGCCCGCAAAATGGTGGCTGACTTCTTCGTGTTTCTCTTTAGTAAACCTGACATTCTTTTCCGTTCAGCAGACGAGATGCTTCAATCAAAGAGAGGTATGAGCATGTGAGCTGTCGCACTTCAGCTATTCAATTAATGACGTAGCAGGCTGCAGTAATTTGTTATGAGCATGCGTTTGAGGTCGCTGGGAATGAGTAGTTTTGTAAGGGATCCCCCATCGGAGCCGCCACTGCATAGACAAGTCGGTCACAATTGCAGGACATGGACAGTATATCGCCCGAGGCCAAGATAGCCATGGACTAAGGTGCTACTTGACGCCAGAGAGCCCCAGAATAGCCCGGCCGTGGCGTTCCGAACAGAGGATGCATGCAGTGCCCTGCGAAAGCTGAGCTGAGTGAGATGGAGGCCGACTCCGTATGGGCGGCCATGGAAGCATTGGTCAACGCTCGGAGTGCCCAATGACGTACGATCGCTAAACATGCCTGCCTGACAGTTGCGAGACGTACGTTATCACAAGGATTCGTTGTTGTGAGGCATAGTTAGTTTCGGGGTGCAATCAGAGACATCCAAGGTTGTTGTGGTTGTCGGACCCCGCTGGGTGCGAGGACCGATCGAGTCGGATTGACGCTGGGGGCCGTGCTATTTGCGGCACGACCTGCTTGCTCAGCCATCTGCCGCGCTATTTTGGGGGCCATCGCGTCGGGATTCACGATGTCCGCCTGAGTTTACTCTGTACGCACTGCGCCTTACTGAGGCATACCTATATGAAGAATATCCAAACCCCACGGCGCAGTGCATCTTTCCCGGACTCGTTTCAAGTTCCCAATCCTGATGCCCCTGATCCCAGCACTGATGGCGCTCCAAGGCTGTCTAGTCCCAACCATGACGTCGCTGAGTTCCACTTCATACAACTGTGTTGGTCTTACTAGGGTAACTGTTGTTGGCTACACGACATTCCCACGGCCAAAGAGAAACAATCAGGCGTGTCTGGGGACACCCGGCCCCATCATGTACGGCACGTTCATACGGACGTGAGCAAGCGCATGGCGCGGAGATATACTCTCCGACTCAGACGGATTTCGCAACTTTCTTTCAAGTACCCCGATTGATCGTCGTTCGGCACATACAGTATCTGAGGGGCCTATATGTGTGATTACGTTGCCTAGCCTTGGTTGCGGTAACAGCCGTGGACGACGGTTTCGGCCCGCATGATCAGTTTCCTCGACTCTCCTAACAGTCATCATTTTCGTCCGGAGGCTCGAGGATACCACATTCAGAGATTTGCATGCAATACGACGCTCTGCATTGGTAATTTGCTCCTTGGCTACAAAACAATGAGCGATTGTCAGAAGCCTTTCGCTGCTAACAATGAAGACTGCGGAAGAACAGTCTTGCTAATCCGTGAGGGAATCTCGCGTTAACTAAAGATATCTGTAATCGGACATAAGACAAACTCAGCACTCTATGCATTAGCAGCACCGAAAGAAACCCTCTGTACCCAGCGCTAGTAACAAACAGCAGACACGACCTGCCAACTATCGATGTCTTTGTGATGTAAGGTCGTTTTATCGTTTCTCGCGCGCCTTAGCGATACCGTTACTGTGAAGCATTGCGAGTCCACCAAAAGAGTATTATCGCACGGCAAGCTGATGATGCCAAACTTTGCACCAACCAATGGCGATCGACAATCCTGAAGTACACCGATGTTTCTACATTCTTCAAGATTTTCACCGACCAGAGATGTCCACAGTGGAACGCTCAAGCAGGTTGAAAAAACCAGCTAATACACGTAGCCCTCCGGAGCGGGATCTCACTAACCTACCAGAATTGCGGGCGAAACCAAAGTCATCGATCGGGCTGGGCGAAGCCGACTACACCATGAGCAACAGAAGCACAGAGGTAACACTGTCAATGTTGCTTTCTCTTTGACCCATACACTGATATCAGCTGGCCGAACGGTCTAAACGCGCGCCTGAGAGCCCTCCATCACCAGCCTCCCTAGCTTGCGACCTGTTCGACGCACCGATCCCGATCTCCAGTTCAAAACTAGGCTGCAAACACAGATTCTTCGATACTGAATCATGTCTCCAGTTACACTGTGCATCGTATCAAAAGTTTTCAAGAGCTGTCCGCCCGAGCTGCAGAACCGCGCACGGAGTTCCTTTGAGATTACCTTGCTGGCAATAAAGGTACCTACCCTGTGTATCCAGACATGCGAGCGTGAAGATTCAGACAAATACAGGGAAATCAGTAGTGTGCAGACTAGCATCGACCAAGCAAGGTGATTGTGCTGCGGAAACGGTACTCTGAATCTCGGTTGTTCCAACGGAGTATCGGTTACATGCTGTTATTCAAAGTCAAAATGTTTCTTCCACTTCGCTTGACTAGAAATCCAGTGTCCAACGATTTGATCAGGGATGCGTCACTTGTGAGTCAATTCAGACGCATCGCTCTTCAATACACGTGGTGGCTGTTGTGGTGGTAGGGGCTAAGCAGTCTAGAGCTCACGCTAGGTACGATGGCGCCATGGTGACTAGCTTTTCAAGGCTGAACAACAGCCACATCACCCCTTAATGTCTCGTTCTTGTGCTCACAAAGCTCGTATAGGTACTGCAAGAGGGGCATGTCCAACGTTCTTATCCTTCGTGGTTCTCCTGGCCGAGGCTATCTACGTAGGTACTTACGAAAAAGACGTGGCGCAACCATCAGCAATCCTTGCAGTATATCTTCTGAACAACAGGCCTACGGGTCACTCCCCTAATGTATACTGCGTCAGTAGTTTCGGTTCAGCCGATGCTTCTTACTAGATCCAGACCCCTGAAGAGACCTTACCTGACCGTTATGGGACAAGCAGGCCCAAATAGTACAAAAAGCATTTCATACAGCCGTCAATTTCCTTAGCTTCTCGTCTACCCCAGTATTTGCACAACCCATGCAACAGCCTCATGATGGATATAAGGAAAGGCTATCACCAGCTTCGGGGCGGGGAGCTTGGTCCGACTTCATACATTTGCTCAGTCCTTCCTTTAGACGTCTGTCGTTTCAGTTGCAGTCATGTTATCCCTTCCGGTGCTCATCGTAACATCTCTACTTGCCAGCATCGTAGATGCTCAACGTGTATCGACGAACGGCCGTTGCGGCGCAAGCTTTGGCCTCACCTGTGCTGGGTCAAGTTTTGGGCCCTGTTGCTCATCGCAGTCGTGGTGGTAAGTTCGCTGCTGTATACCGTATGTATTCCTCCCCACGCTAACAAGCATAAGTGGCACGACAGCAGATCATTGTAATACTGGATGTCAAGCAAATTACGGACAGTGTAAGATACCGACGACTGCTCCTGCAACGAAGGTTTCAGAGGATGGACGCTGTGGTCCACAACATGGAGGTCAAACCTGCGCGGGTTCGCGCTTCGGTGATTGCTGCTCGCAGTATAGGTAAGAGTGGCTGTGCCGATCCAACCAAATCATTCTAATACGCTGCAACAGCTACTGTGGAAGCACAAACGCATACTGCGCTGCCAGTATTTGCCAGAAAGGTTTCGGCTCATGTAATGGTGCCTCGCCCTCCTCTGCCACTAGGTCAACATTGACCTCCGTCGTCGTACCTCCGGGATCGTCTTCCGCCGTGGTTGGTACTTCTTCCTGCTCTGCGGTTACTGTAACCGCATCCCAGTCTGCTACCACGGTTTCTGGTGCTATCACTACAGTTACGCTGCCTGGTGACAAGGTTACCACAACGATCACGATCCCAGGAGAGGGAGAAGTCACCACGGTTACGGTCCCCGGAGAAAAGACAACGGTGACACTTCCTCCGTCAACTTCAACGCTTACAGTTCCTGGTGCTGGGGAAGTCACCACCGTCACCGTACCTGGGGATGAAAAGACGTCTACACTGACCGTTCCTGGAGATGCTACGACTGTCACACTTCCTGCCGCGACTGTAACAGTACCAATCACACTCCCTGGTGAAGAGACAACATCTGCCCTCACAATTCATGGTCCGGGAGAAATCACTACTGTCACAGTACCCGGCGAAGCCTCGACCGTCACAATTCCAACGACAGTAACCCTACCTGGAGAGGATTCTACTGTCACGCTTCCCGTCACTCTCCCAGCTGAGACGGTCACCCTCCCTGGCGATCTAGCAACGACTACTGAAACGATTTCTGCTTCGACGGTCACCGTCACAGCGACTGCCACGCCCAGTGCTGGTGCTAGTCCATGTTCTCCAAGTGCCAATGCCGTTGTCAACGGCGACTTCGAGACTTCTCTGCCCGGCACATGGAGTATACTCACTGCTGGCGACGCAGACGTGGTACGAATAAGCGTTTCAGCAAGCTCATTCGTTGTTCGATCAAGGATCAACGCCGGAAACAGCAATTTGCCGCAACGCCTCGTCCAGGCCGTTACTCTGTGCCCTGGAACTACTTATCAAGTGGGTTTCCAGGCGCGCCGCGTAACTAGTAGCGGTACCATTTCTGCAATGGCCTATGTCAACGATGTTGCTCTAGCTGGTGGTGTGGTCACAGCCACCTCTTTCACGTCTGTTGCAACTATCAACGGTGGGTATTTCAGTACCACTGCCAGTAGCGTTATCCTCAGGATCGAGTTCGCCTATTCAGGTGGATCTGGGTCGGCGAAGGAAGTCCAGGTTGACAATGTGGCAATTACTCCGGTTTCGTAGGGTGACGGCGAGAACTAGGAAGGTTTACTCATTCTGAATACACACATTCCTCTACTGATAAGCTTTTTCGCCTTCTACTTATCTCTCGTCAAGCATACTTACATAACAGCGATCGTCTTCTCACCCTCCACTCTTCTATCCACTCTTTCCTTCATCCTATCTTCTATCAGACCGCAGACTACATCAAGTTAGCAGTCTACCCACCCTACTCTCATACTCTAATGCAACATTTACAGGAATCGACGGAAAAAATGATTTGGCTAACACGTTAGCATCTGCTCGTGATTCCCGTAGTATAGGGAATCATATGAGTAGGTGGTGGTAAGATTATAGAAAGCCTACTCGAATCCACCCACCGCTGCATCTTGGTTGCATTAGAGAAGCAGGGACCAAATGCCGTTGTTCAAAGCACGTCACTAAGTTTATCCAAAGATGAGCTAAACAACCAATACCGTTCCAGCGCCTCGATAAAAGAATGAAAAGAATGGGTTTAGTACTCCAGGCTTTCATGTTGGTACTGGTCTCTTCGTCGTTATCGTAGCGACTATAATTAGTTTATAATTGTAACGCCTCGTCTGTCTTTAGCGACAACGGCTCAGAAAGGTTAGACTCAGGCAAGCCATGGGGCTGGCTATACTCTAATTGAGCCACACATCCCGTCAATACCCACAATGTCTTCGTTTGCGAAATAGTGGCGTATGCCAGCCAATACAAACAGCTATCTGCCTGGTTAGGCATACTGTCACTCCTCAGCCTCGTGAGTGATTTCATCTCCTGTCACAACGTCACAGCTCCCTTCGAACACCTTCTCACAGCATGTCAGCTGTTCCTTGGAAGCAGGAAATCAATTTCGGGAGTGCACTGCTGCTGCATTCTTGTATCACTGTCTTTCTCAAGGAGATCAGCAACGGCTTCGCAGTACTCTATCATCTCTCAATCCGTCATAGGGACAAGGCTGGAATCAAGACATCTATCGTGCTCGATGGCTACACTTCGGTCTTTTCGAAAGATCACGATGGTGAGCTTGCAGAGCTGTACTTTACCAACACTGGGTTCATTCTCTTGATCGTCTCCCTCGCCTGTGCTATCGCGATGAACCTACTTCTACCAGCCACTGTACTCAACACTCTTATCGCAGCGACATTCGGCTTGACATTCTTCGCATCAGCATTGGTGGCTTGTCGAGAGAGAAGCCTAGTGATGCCGATCATGGCATTGAGAAGGGCTGGTCGATTCATCTGGTCCGATACTCCGTTCGTGAATTTCTTCACGTTGATCTATGTCGCAGTAGTCTTGAAGGGTTCATCTGATAAGATAGTACTCAGAGACTACGTGGTGTTTCGGTCTATTGCCATCCTTGAGTTGGTGTTCATGAAGGCGAGAATCGCAGCGGCTTCTGCAGATATACAGCAGACGATGTTGGAACGACTCCTCGACAGTGAGTATGTTATGGTCAGAGGCGTAAGTGCTCAAGATTAACTCACTTCCGGAATGCAAGAACATCGCTCATTCCGATAGAAAGCCTTTCCAAACCCACGAACTGCGCCCCCTTTGCTCGAGCGTGACCGCATCGTCTCCTTCTCCAGCTCACAGCGTCTCTCCGTCATGCTCTACAAAACGACTATCGGTTACGCGGATGGTTCACTATGTGGCGCTTCCGGCCCTGCCGCCATCACAGTCCCGAAGAATTCTGGATTCTTCATCGACGAGGCTGAGGAGCGTGGCTGGCGCATCTACCGCGTCTCGCCTACCCTCATCGTCATCGAGGATTGTGTTCAAGTGATGATCACAAAGTTGCGCGAGAGAGCGCCAACGAAAGAAAGACGAGGCTTGGTGTTGCTCTTCACTCGGTTCATAGCATGGACTCATGGGGTACTGCTGCGGCGGTTAGGTAGGCGAAGAGTCGTCTGGCTATCGAGAACGAACGGACATGGATCGAAAGAGGATTACTGGAGAGGAAATGCTAATCTTGTGACGGGCTTGAAGGAAAGCTGGTTGCACAGCCGACAAAAGTTCAAGTGTCTAGACCCTGTAGAAAACAATGCGCTGATAAGCTTCGAGATGGTACGTTGATAAGCAGAGCATCGAATAGAAAGAGAAGGATGAGTTTGGGCATGATGAAAGAACGTGAACCACGGGTGTTACTTTCACGAAACCAGAGCTGAGACTAAGCAAACACTGTAAACGCATGTTATCTCCATACACTGTGTTATTGCCTTTTGAATGCTCACACCAGGCCTGAAAAAGCTTATCGGTTTTTTGCTCTTTCTCTCTCCTCACTAGAGCGACCAGCCGGGTAGGAACCAGAGCAAAGACAACACCAAGATGCCATCCAACATTACCGCTGCCACTACCACCCCACTCCACACTCCTCTGTCCTCACCCAGGTTCGCACCCCCACCACAATCTCATGTTCACTTCGGCGCCACTCCCCACCGTAGTCCTGTCCCGCGCTTTCCTTCCTCCTACTCCCACTCGAAAAAATCCTATTTCCCTAACCAGCCTCAAGCACTAGGCACCCAAGTCACTCTACAGGACTCATCTTCATCTCCAAGAAAACCAGCTCAAAACTTTGTGGACATGCTGACACAAGAACAACTGAAATCTATGTCTGATCTGGACAAAGAAGAGGAAGCGAGGCTATCAAAGACACATCGGGAGAAATTGAGGAAGATGGGTACGGGAATATCTAGATTCGTTGGTCGACTGAAGAAGAGTGGTAGTAGTGTTGAGAAGGACGGGAAATCGAAGCAGGGGACCGGGGAGCGCATTGAGGAGGGTTGAATGGGTTAAGATCACAGCTTTGTTGGTGCGTTGATTGCGTTGACATGCGTAGGCGTAGCGTCCTGGAAATCGAGCGTTCCATGTAAGGAAAAGCAACATGTTGAAGAATGGCTACCAGTTTCGTGTTTGATCATTAATTTGCTGAAATTGCAGTGCGGACGCAACGAAGAAAACGAACTTGTTAACTAATTTCACAAATGAACATGATAATATTGTACAGCGACCGTCATTTCCGACAGGATAACCAAGATAGGAAAGCTAAGCAACACAAAACGGGGTATGTGACAAAGACCAGTGTGGATGAAAAAGGACACACCGTTCTACTAAGCAAAGGTACCGAAAGCAGTAAGGAGACAGCTGCAGCGACAGGAAACTCGGGGTATATGTCGTAAAGTCATAAATTTGGTGGGCGATTGAGGCCCGTCATATAGTGACATGACTGACTAGTAGCGACGGTAGTCGAAACCTCTGGTCCATTCTTCATCTTTCTTTAGTTCCACCTTGATCTCAGATAATCATCGTCGTCGTATGCTGATCGGGTTTGGGAGTCGAAAGATCCGTTCATACCACCAGTACCACTCCGCTGGCGAGCGTGCCTCTTAGTGTCAGAGTCTCTGCCATAACGATGAGAGTCATCCGCGACGTTGTGCATGTTAGAAGCGTAGTAGTTATTTGGGATGTCTCGCACCGTCGGATCGGACTGGGTACCGTAACTGGAAAAGCTCGGGCTTCGGGGTCGAGCATTCGAGCCGTGACGAGGCTGCTGATGATAGTGAGCATCGGAAGGGGGCGGCGCAAATGGTCCTTGGCCGGCGCTTGATTGTGCGCGTTGACGCCTCTCGTTCACAGCACCATCAGAGTAGGTGCTAGAGCTCATGTCGTCGGTGTACGATTTCCCGCCACCTGGAGCCGCTGAATATGGCTTACGCTCTCGTTCGATGGGTACTGATGTAGACATGGGCTCATCTTCCAAGTCAAATGGCCTCACTTCAGGTTTTCCGGAGTATGGGCTGCGTTCGCGCTCGAGTTTAGGCCCTGATGGAGGAGCCGTCTTGGGCGGCGGCGGCGGGAAGGTGGGCGCCCTACGTAGCGGACCGACTCCCTCAGAGGACAAGGCTGCGGCACACCTTTGCTGCGCATGTAGGTTCTCGACGGTTGGAAACATCCTGCGGGGAAGTTCTTTCGGGAAGCGTTCCTTCCGGTCGTCTGCGTTGCTGATGGGCATGTCCAAGATTGCTTTCACCAGTCGCTCGTACTCGGTATCGGGATAGGCCTGAATCATTGTAGTCATCCACTCCTGAAAGCCTGTAGGAGTAAGTGCAGGGATGTAAGGTGCCTCGGCGGGATGTTCCTGAATAAGATGGTGCTGGCATCGCATGTCGCGGTATATCTTTGACAGTGCCGAATAAGAGACTTCTCCGAAAATTGCTACATATGTTAGCATAAGAGCGGGACTATAGACGCCAGCCTGTCTTACTTGACCAAGGGTAAATCTCATCCTTGAGCTTGACTTCTTCATAAAACTTGAGCATCTTGGCAGGAGAAATGACCAAACTGTGCTTTGGTTCGTAGTCTTCAATCTATGCCATGGTTAGCACGTTGTTACTGTTTGAACTCGAGTACGTACCAGATGCAGAGCCAAACCGCGCAAGAGCTGGCCGAGACGAGGTAGAGGCTGACCGTCTGCCTCGAACAGTCGCTGCCACATCTTTTCAATCGGGGTATAATCTTCGGTCATCATTCTGGGTGCAAGGCTTGGTCGCACAGACGGTCGCTCCCGCTCTACTGGTGCGCTTCTCTCAGGACGTGGGGTAGGAATATCACTGTTGTTCCCATCCAGCAGCGGGTCGCGATATAAGGGGTCGCGCTCCGGAGATGGTTGGCCTGGAAAGTCGGTGCGCTTCGGGGAAGGCGGGGTATACACGTCGCGGGGTGGAATCGAGTTTGATGTTGACATTGGCGAGGGCGGACTCCATTGTTGCGGGGAGACGGGTACGGCTTGAGCGTGTGTCGTACCAGCCATGCCGCTTGATTTGATCTCATCCAAGACCGACTTCTTTACTTGCTCGGTGATTTGAGCAATGAGATCCGGGTCGACGACTCTGGCGGCATCAGATTTTTCAAAGGCATGTCCGATAGCACTCTTCAACGGCTGCTGCATTGGCTGGGAGCCACTGTCGACACTATGGCGGTCCCAGGCCGGACTGGTGTCACGAGGCTGATGGTCAGACGCATCGGTGCCAGTGCGAGACTTGGGTCTTGTGCCATAGTCAGGGCTCCTGCCACGGTCGTAGTATTGTTTGTCGAAAGGCGAGACGTAGGAGCCGTTGTGGTGGTCGGGCTGGTCACGGTAGGCCATGCTGGAGCCCAATGGCAGGCGCTCGGGAGCACCTGCAGTATGACGTTGCTAGGTGGGAGTTGTCGAGTAGGCGAGCGTTTGTGGAGCGCAGCGAATAAGTGCTGCTGCTATTGCAGAATTCCCATGCAGGCGCGATAGTGACAGGTTGCTGGAGAGGACAGGGAAACGGAGATGTGGGCACGGAAGGAAGAAGATGTTGGAAGAAAGGCTGTGGTCGCAAACACGGCTCAGCCCGGTGGATTGCCGGCTTTTCGTCTTCTAAGGCAGCGATACCCTGGACAGAGGAGGAAGGAGGAGAGTTCACAAGCAGCAGGTAGGACAACGTTATCTTCAGCGAAGTTTGACTGGCTGTGCTGAGCCATCTTCTTTGTGCGGCGCCATGGGCGTGCCGCAGGCTGGGATGTAGGCGACCTGCTGTCTGCGTCATACGCAGGCCTGGGAATGGAAGAACGTCATCACGTCTATTGACAGTCAACTCCAACCGAGCGGCAGGATGGACAGGATCATCAGGAGCAGCAGACCTGGGGACACGAGATTCGCGGAACGAGGGTGATTATGTTTGTTTGGTTCAGTAGTCTACGCAGTCGTCATGCCTAGCGCATGTCAGGACGGTGGTAGCGACGGCTGTCAGTGACGCGGCGTGGTTCCGCCGTTTGCATGTCTTTTGTTTCAACCACACGGCACCACCAGCTGCTGGCCACTGCGCGCCCGGGTTACAGCATGACAGTCAACCCATTCATCCCCGCTCAACTTATGAGAAACACGGGCAAAAGGGGTGCGGGTGGCATGGGAACGCTCTATCAGTCAGGGCCGGCTTATGCGCATCGGGGCGGTTACCGGAATGCGAGCAGATGTGCAGAGCGGCGGCGAGGCGGGCGACGTGAGACACACAGCATCTCGGTAGGCGCCAGACTGGCTGTTGTCCCGTACGTGTACGCGTGCTCAGGCTCAGCACGCTGTAACGCGCCAGGCAGACTCAGCAAACAGAAACGCGATCACATCACGAATCCCCCAGATAGATAGGCGGCGACAGGCACTGGGGTGAGTAAAGGGCCGTGTAGCTATTTCAAGCCGACGAGGCTGTCCCTGAGCGGCCAAGATTATATTAAACCGCGAGGCCGCCATGGGCTAGTCGCCAAAACGGTGCTGGCCCTGAATAGCGCCCGCAGAGCTCCACGACTCGACCGCGCATCAACAACGACGCGTTTGCATGATGTTCAATAGCCGTCTTTGATGAGGTTGCGAAAAGCTACCTGGGCGCTCGCGACATGTGTGTGCTGTCTGCGGGCGCTGACAAAGACAAAGCCGTGTCCGCGACGCAGTCATTGGGCGGAGGGCCGCAGTCGGTCGGCCTGGTTAGGTTTAGCTGGCACAGCTCCCAGACTCTAGTCGTTTCAGATCTCACGGCGGCCGCGAGCCATGGCAAAAGGTATCTCTGCGCTCGCGCTCGCTCCAGCAAAGACGACGGGATCATCCTCTGTTTCGAGACCGTGTCTTGTTTCCCTATCTAATCGACGTGTTCCGTGCCCATCTTCCCGGGGGGCAACGCGAACGCCGTAATAAAGAAGGCCGAAACCCCCATTCCACAAAGACAAGGCCGTCCGCCTGCAACCCACCTCACCCCATCCCACGACGCCTTGCACCCGCATTCAGCATTCCTCAGACGCCGCCCTTCTGAGTGACCCCACTGAGCTCCTCCAGCACGCTTTCAGTCACTCGTAGCGTCTTATATCGTTGTTGCGACCCCCGGCCTAATACGCTCTTGGTATCACCATCCAAGCTGCTCCCGTACCACGTCCACAACCACATCCATACCCACCTTCACCGCGCCCACCATCTTATCACGCGTAGCATTCTCATGATGCATATATGAGATAGAAGAGTAGACAGACCGACACGACCGCCCGCCCGACCGACCGACCGACCGCTCCGCCTGCTCAGCTCACCGCCCACAACTTCTCTCCGACACACTCAGGACAAGACATGGCCATGCTTGCCGCAAAGTCCCCGTATCCCGCACCCTCCATGAGTGGCAGCGCTGCACAATCTTCGGCCCAGTACAATGCTGGCCTCTCCAACTACCGCAACCATGCATCAAACACCCGAGCCGAGCAGTCAATGTTTGCTTCTCCCACCGAGTCAGAGTTCTCCGAAATATATGATGCCCCCGACGCCATTAGGTGAGCTCTACTTGCCGACTGACTTTCACTTACACCGCTAACATGTGCAGACATTGGGACGAGGACAAGGTTGGCGACTGGCTGAAGCGTATCAACTGCGCCCAGTATGTCGACCTATTCAAGCACAACCACATCAACGGCGAGAACTTGATGGAGATGGACCAGACCCATCTGAAAGACATGGGCATCAAGAAAGTCGGCGACCGCGTCCGCATCGGCTCACAGGCAAAGCAATTGCGCAACAAGGAGTACAAGAAGGCCTCAAGAAGGACATCAAACAGGCAATCGCTTGCTACACTTGACAACGCAGCATATACTCCACCGTCCTCCGGCTCTCCTCGACCCCTTCACTCTGCACGATCAAATCCTCCTCCGACCGCCTCCAACCCCGTAAGCTCGCGATCCGAGAAGCGCATGTCCAGGCAAATCATGAACTCCGACCTCAGCAGCTACGCATACGGTGCCAAACCTCCCTCGCGTCCTGGCTCTCCTCTTGTTGACCAAGAGACCCGGAGCCTTCGCTCGCAACGTCAAGGTGGAATGAACAGCCCCAAAGAGCTTGGTAACAAGACATATGGCGCACATCCCCTCAGCGCTTCCAGCAGCGCTGTCAACATCACTTCACAGTACTCTCGTAATCAACGCACCACACCTACCGAGACACCTCAAACGGCCCGCTTCGCTCACCATGTTCGCGCCAGTCCCAGTGTAGATAGCGCTACGAACAGCGCCATCCTGCCACATGACAAGGCTCTCGTGCGTGTCATCTACGATGGCGGACGAACCTCAGTTGTGAACATCGAAGGCTGCAAGACCGCTGAAGAGGTGATGCTCAAGACTCTTACCAAAGGTCATCTCAACACTGCCCATGTTAAGAACTACTGTTTCTACATACTCAACAGCGGAGAGCCGGACCCCTCGCTATCTGAACGCTTGAGTGACATCGAGCTTTTCAGGCTTGTCAAGGATGCGAATCGACATGAAAGGGGTCGGTTAATACTCCGCAAGGTCCATGCTGGAGAGCCCGACGAGGATCAACTGAAGGCTGCCGCCGGCATCTACCAACAACAGAACTTCCAGCAAAACTCCACCGTCTACGTGCCATCCAGCAATCGCAGCCAGATCAAAATCGAGAAGCTGACGGGTGAATCCCTCGCTGCTGTCAGCTACCCTCTGTCGCCAACGTCTGCAAGGGAACGAGAACGTCATATCAACTCGACTGCTCAAAATCTGGAGGGGCCTGCCGACCCTTCGAGGTCGCCTATTTTCCATGCTCGTGCCCGAAAGCTTAAGCAGTTCTACGGTGCTCGACCTCCCAGCGAACTGATCACATCTGACCTGACCTCCTACTTCCCTGACGTCGGAAAAGATGAGATTGACAAGACCGTCCGCATGTCGATACGTCGTTCCCATCGACTCAGCCGCGCGGCTTCGCGTCTATCAATGGCATCCAACTTCAGTGTTGCCTCCAGCTTGAAGGATGCACCACCACTGCCGTCCATCGCCGACACTTGGCTTCAGGGAGGTGCCCAAGCCCGACCACTCCGCCCACTCTCAGTCATGAGGTTGGGTCTACCTAACCAATCTGGTTACCGCGATTCTATGGCGTCTTCTGTCTTGGAACCTCTGGATGAAGAGTCACCCCTCGAGCCAAACCGAAAGTCATACGTCTCGTTTGGTGGTGACAGTGGCTCGGATACTCTTGCCATCACAGATCCTGACGGCAACACCACTCTGCAATCCTACTTTGACGACGGCGGTAGCAGCCTTGCAGGTAGCAGTAGCAGCAACACTGAAAACGGCGATTCACTTAACAAGCGCCTTTCTGAAGCCATAGCTGAGGATGGCGAAGAATCAGACGACGAATTGGCCGAGTATCTGGAACAAGACTCCTGGGACAACGTCAAGTACATGAAGGGCGCTCTCATCGGACAGGGTTCTTTTGGAAGTGTCTACCTTGCGCTGCATGCCGTTACTGGTGAGCTCATGGCCGTCAAGCAAGTCGAGCTTCCTTCGGTAGCAGGTGCTTCCCAGATGGATCATAAGAAGACGAACATGGTCGAAGCCTTGAAACACGAGATCGGCCTCCTTCGGGAACTCAAGCACAAGAACATTGTGCAGTACCTTGGATCCAACTCCGACGAGAGCCACCTTAACATTTTCCTCGAATACGTCCCAGGTGGCTCCGTGGCGACCATGCTGGTCAACTACGGTCCTCTCGGCGAATCTCTTATTCAGAACTTCGTACGCCAGATTCTCACTGGTCTTTCTTACCTCCATTCACGAGACATCATCCACCGAGATATCAAGGGCGCAAACATCCTTGTCGATAACAAGGGCTCAGTCAAGATCTCCGATTTCGGTATCTCTAAGCGTATTGAAGCCTCGACATTAGGCGGTGGTAAGAAGGGAGCCCAGCGTGTCTCCCTTCAAGGTTCCGTCTTCTGGATGGCACCAGAAGTTGTTCGACAAACAGCCTACACCCGCAAAGCCGATATCTGGTCGCTCGGCTGCCTCGTAGTAGAGATGTTTACTGGCAGCCACCCGCATCCCAACTGCACTCAACTCCAAGCCATCTTCAAGATTGGTGGCAGTGGCGATGCCAGCCCTACAATTCCTGACAACGCTGGCGACGATGCTCGAACATTCTTGGCGCAGACCTTCCTCATCGACCACGAGAAGCGTCCTAGTGCCGACGAGCTTCTAGCCAGTCATTTCATAACTAATCAGGGTGCATAAACTTTTCTTACATACGGCGCACAACACATTTTTAGCATGGGACGGGGAAGCATCATCGGGGTTCTAGCATGGGCGTTCTCTTTCCTTTTTAACGCCCCTAACGCTTACATGCGCGAATGATTCTGTACTATACCACTTTCAATACGCTTTTCCGATAGGAGGAAAGGAAGGTGCTACACAGCATGTTTAATATACTGCTGATCAGTAATGGGTGCTTTGGATGGATTCAGGCAGTTTGTATCATAGCTGTCTACAAGATCTATTTTCAACACTTTCCACAATAACAATCCTCACCCATGACTTCCCGATGTGTCAAAATCAATTGCCATTGCATGAACTTTATGACTATCCACGATGACGTATCCTCCGAGATTAAGTTCGGTGGCTGAAGCTGCCACAGTCGCATTACTACAAGTTGTATCCACAGTCCCATTGTTTTTCCTTTTGGTCAAGATCAGAATGCAAAACCACCGAATGTATCACTAGGACTCTATCCACCCTTGTTTTACAACCGTCATTGCAACACCCGGCTTATCATCTCGGGAGGTTAGTATCGCAGCATTGAATAGTATCCCATCATTTGTTTCCTTATTCTTTTCCACCGTACCACTGAACCGAATCTTTTATCTTGGCAGTGAGTTCGCGTACTGCTGTTGAGCTGCACAGAAGTGTATAATCACGACCACTGCAGGTCCCCGCTATCTGCAAAGAGTGGAGCTCGGCGCTCTGGAACTACGGGCAATCATGGCTTCCGAAATGCCTGCCATGAATGGAGACGAAATCAAATCCATCACGGAATCCAAGATATCCGACTTTGCGATCAATGTTCCCCCGACTATCGCCCAACGGCAAGGTCGCTAACCCCACATCCGTATCCCGCTTGACGTAGTTTCGGCGCTGGGCGCGTTTCCTACCTCCAATTGCGGGGTAAACTTGACCTTGATCACGCGTACTTGGTTGCCTCGGCTTCGGTTGTTATCTGATGATAATCTTAAGAGTAAGTAAACGCGTAGAGCTCCCGTTTGGACTACGTGAAGCGGTCCGAATCTGCTGTGTGTGTGATTGGTCCGGTAGGTGATTTGAGTGGGGAGTGGGTTTGTATGATGGACTACCTCCAGGCTGTGGGTGGAGATAAGGTAGGTAGCTTACGTAGAGTAAGGGTAGTGTGCTTAGTCGGAGGGAGGGAGTCTGGATGGTGGCTGATGGGTGCGGGGAAAGATATATGTACGGAGTTGTCTGTCAGTTTTCGTTGGTTCATCTTCTACTCATCCATTCTAGTCACTCTTCCTCCTCCTCCTCCCACGTATCATATCCTACCAATACTTCCTACGCCTGACAACACGGCATACAATTGCTCAAGATGTCCCTCCCCGCCAAATACAAAGCCGCCATCTATGATGCGCCCGGTTCTATCTCAACCAAGGTTGTCGAACTGGAAATGCCCCAGCCAGGCGCGGGCGAGGTCTTGATCAACCTCACGCACTCTGGTGTGTGTCACTCAGATCTAGGCGTTATGACAAACTCGTGGAAAACACTGCCTTTCCCCACTCAGGCAGGGCAAGTAGGTGGCCACGAGGGCGTAGGAAAGATTGTAAAGATGGGTCCTGGAACAGAGAACTCGGCAGTCAAGATTGGAGATCGCGTGGGAATCAAGTGGATGGCAGGAATTTGCGAGGCGTGTGAGGCTTGTAGAGCGGGAATTGATGCTTCGTGTTTCTCTGGTGTAAGTTTTGCTCGTTGCTTTGTTGGAAATCGAAACTGACATGTGTAATAGAAAGTATCAGGATACTACACACCAGGTACATTTCAGCAATACGTCCTCTCTCCGGCAAACTACGTCACGCCCATCCCTGAAAGCCTCGATTCCGCAGCCGCTGCGCCCCTCCTCTGCGCTGGTGTGACAGTCTACTCCGCACTCCGTAAGACAAATGCCGAATCGGGTGCTTGGGTCGTGATTGCTGGTGCTGGAGGTGGACTGGGTCACTTGGCCGTACAATTCAGTGCTCGAGGAATTGGCCACCGCGTAATCGGAATCGACCACTCTTCCAAGAAGGATATCATCATGGAGAGCGGTGCCGAGCACTTCATCCCTGTAGACGGCACAGAGAACATGGTCGAAGCCGTCCAAGCCCTTACAAACGGCCTCGGCGCACACTCCGTCGTAGTATGTACGCAAAACAACGCTGCGTACGCTCAATCAGTCGATCTACTTAGATTCGGTGGCCGAGTAGTGTGCGTTGGTATCCCCGAGGGCGATGTTGTACCCATCAAGAGCGCGAACCCTGGTGTTTTAGTCGCCAAGTCTTTGCAGATTGTTGGATCGGCTGTGGGATCGCGAAAGGAGGCTATCGAAACCATGGAGTTTGCGGCACGCGGAATCGTCAAGACACATTTTAGAACGGAGAAGATGGATAAGCTCACAGACGTATTTAATGAGATGCATGAAGGGAAACTGCAGGGCAGAGTTGTGTTGGACATGACAGAATAAGTGAACGTGTTTGATATTGTAGCTGATATGTAAATGCAGAAGATAGTGTGGAAAGCAGAATATATGAAAGAGAAACATCTGAAACTAAGAAAGATACGAGCAAACTTTCGTCGTTCCAGATACCCAAAGAGCCCTGCAAACCGTTTCTTGTCATCATCGAGGACGACTAGCTCCTGAAACTTCTCTACGTATTTCAAGGAATTCGGTGAACCGAAGGTACTCGTTGTATCGTTCCTGCAGCTGGCGTCTGGCCTCATCTCGTTGCTGCAAGCGTTCTATTCGTCTCACTTTCGAATAGTCCATGTGTAACACGTTAGAAGAATTCCAGGGTAAGCGGAAGGCTGCATATGGAACTAGTGCTTACATCTGACCGGTTTGCACAGCCACTGCCGCAGTTAGGCATGCAGATAAGGCCAACCAAGATGCCAAAGGCTACTACACAAACTCCCGCTAGAGTAAGAACAGCTTCTCTCGACCATCAAGCCGAGAGTTTAGATTTGGTGTCGGTATCCTCGATGTGCGACATCGGCAAAGCACTTGTGCTCATTGTTACACATAAGAGAAAGAGCAAGTACATATATGATTGAACCATGCTCGTAGTAAACATTTGGAAGCTTCCTTTCACAAGGTGTATTCGAATAGCTTGATTTGTCCATGATTGAGAGCAGCGAATCTTGTTAATATGCTTCCTGGGGAGCTCACCGGGAAAGCCACCGCATAGCGCACGTGTCATCCACTCCGGTGAGCCTTGGGCGGACGTTACCGTTCGTCGAAAATAAACGTACCTCACAGGAATAACAAGATGGGTTCCGAAAGTCGGTTCCTTTGGGCGAACAGGGTGCAGCTGGACCTTGCACGCGTTTCATTCATTCATAGCCTCTCTGAGAGGGGTACGCGACTAGTCGTCGATTTCGACCTCCCCGACTTGTCTACAGTTGGTATGAGATCTTCGTCTGGGACATAGTCTTTAAAGTTGTCGTTGACGCTGTCTCTAACGCCCACCTGGTTTCGATTTCTTGACTTCCACCTGGGCATCTCCCCATTCTCTGCCCGACCCACACCCATTTCCCTCCACTTCTTCGGGGGCTTGATTCCCATTTCAACTAAGTTGGACCATATCCTCTCTCCGCGCTTATTCCACCTCTCCATCCTCGCTTCGTATTCTTCGTCGGACGGTCGCCACTTGCTCTTGAGTATGCGACGAATGGCTTCGGGTGAGACTTTGAAGTGCTCTGCAAGGACGGGTGTGGTAAATTTATCGGGCTGCGTGCTGTGCAGGTGCCGTATGCCTTCCATGGTGTCGGGCGACAGCTTCTTGCGCGGATTCCAGGCCTCGCCTCCCAGTTTCTCTTTTAGAGCCTCCTTCTGCACTGCCCATGCCGGACGCTCATTCTTTCGTTCTAACTCTCCTGTGAGAGCATCTTCTACTTCGATTTCGGGGTCCGCTTTTGGTGGTTCCGCGGTGGGTATGATAGACGCTTTGCGCGGTCGGCGCGCATCGGTCAAAAACCGCGATTGTTGCGGGCGTAGTATCGGCCTTCGAGCAAGGAACAGTTGCTCGGAATCTACGAAGGAGCGGATGAAGAGACTAAGCGTCGTTCTGGCGCAGTTGTGGCAAGCCATGATGGTCGATGTTTGAGCTTCGACGGTGCTCTATTCTCAAAGTTCATCAGATTATCGCACGGACCTGCACCTCTTGCCACAGGCAGGCGACTAACATCCACTCCACCATTAATACCATCACCGCAGAACCTAACATGGATCATCGTTCAAGATATTTTGATGCGTCTCCATCTCATGTGGCGGTGCCTCCAATCCTTTCCTATATAAATGTCCATTCGAGACACTGCTAGCTCCGTAGTCTCCTCATCTTGTCGCGATACAGCACCCCCTTGTGCCCCCCTCGAGACCCAGGCTCTGTTCGCTTGAGAACCTCCAAGGTGATATGCCATTTGCGACTTAGCATCAGAAGCATTTGCTGCAAGAGTTTGCCTGACAGTCTCGACGATCTTTGCCTTACGTTCGTATCCTCGGTCCTTCTCATCTTGCGCATATCCTCGACAGCTTGAGTCTTGCCTTTCCTTCAGAGCCATAAGGCTTTATTTTTACCTATCATTGGTCTCATTTCCAATACTTTTCAGGCGCCCATTTTCGCATTCAGCTACTGATTTTCTCTGTTTCCTATGTGTTGGACGTCAACTCCATCGTTGTACTGCTTAGGCGCCATGAAAGCCAAGACGGTACCTCGCTTCCTGCGACCTACTCTCGTCAATCCGAACCTATTTCGTCTTCTTCCCATGTACACATGAGATTGCAAAGGCCTCCGATAACAGACCGAGCGGTTGTGGAGCAAATAACGAATACTGCGACAAGGTCGGAAAGTGCAGCTGGGTCCAGTGGCGTTTTCCGTTCGTTGGGATTATTTCTTGGTAGCCGGAGGGCGCACGACTAGTGTAGATGGGGGCCACAACGTCCTCGACCTTATCACCAAATGTAGAACGTTGTGCAGTTTGCGGAGCGCCTTCGGCGGAAGGCTTTCTATTGAGGAATGGAGGTTCGGCGATGATCAACTCGGCATATCGAAGAGGGCGACAACGGCACTTCAAATGTGTGCCTATACCCTAAATCCTGTCGATTGGTTTGGTATCTCTCCATCTTGAACTACTACTATCTTCCATTCATTACGAGCCGTCAACCATATCCAGGATGTCTACACGATTTGGCCGGTTCTTTACGATCATAATTTTCGGAGCTTATCTTGTCATTTCGACAGAGGCATTCCCAGCTGACTCCTACACACCAAGACCTGAGCCCCGAGCCCTCGAAGTCACAAACGCAAAAAACCTCAGGCAGCACATCGAAGTCTACGGTATACCATACGGGGTTCTAGGCGCTGTCTCTCATGCCCTCACCTTTTACGTTATGCTCTGTCACTTCCTTGGAGTGAGGCCTTTGCTTCCGTGGATGGCACTCAAGAAAGAACGCTGGAATATCACCGTAGTCACACTCTCCTCGCTCGTCTCCGTCATCCTTGCAGGCGTTACCATGGCTCGCACACGAGGATCTCGCCCACTACTAATACTTGCCGGGATGCAGATCGTACTCCACGTTCTGGTGGACATCATCCATATACACTGTATGATTAGCGATCGACGTAATTTTGCATGCTTCTGGGCGGTCCCACTTCTGGTCGTGTCGTTCTTCTCAATATTTGCTTTTTACTCATTCCCGTGTAAGTTACAATAACTTATCTTGTATAATTCCAGGACTAATTCATGGATCACAGTCGAAGATGAAGATGGCAGAGTTGGAAGCCTTATCGGCTCTGCTATCTTTATTGTGTTGCTTGTATATATTGGGTTGACCGGGCTTGCAACCTTGATCAATATGCTGGTATGCATCTTCCGCCTATTTAAGCAACCTGCACCATTTGGGTTTGCTGTTGCAGCTATTCTGCTTAGCTGCGGCCTCTACTGGTTCGGTGATTTTGGCATGGCTATTGTGACGAGGAACACGATAGGGACGCCTTCGGACCGAATAAAGGTACTCTACTATACATACTGGGTGGTGGAACGAATTCCGCTGTTCACCTTCTGAAGGACAAGTTAGCTGCATAGTCAGAGAGTCGAAGAGTTTCATACGATGTAGTTGTAATACTTGGTTGTATCCGGAAAGCGTTCGATTGAAGCTAGTACTAGGGTAAAACTACGTCCAAATCAGCTCCTCCTTCAGGCATTGTCCCCGCACTAGTAGGCGAACGGGTCTACCGTGAGTGGTGACATCAACGAACATATGTCAGTGCCTCTTCACACTATCTCGATAGCAACGCTTCGGTGGCAGTTTCCTCCAAAGATTTCGATCGCGGGGCGAATGCGGCAAAATGGAAGTGGATCCCCTCGCACCCATGCGCGCTAGGGCCTCGGTATCATATGACGGAATATCCTCGCCGTACTTGTGCTGCAGTTCTGCTTCGTCCGTGATTTGAGCGTTTGGCATATCATCAGCGAAGTTTGTCTTTCCTGCATTCATTTTTTACTCAAGCATGGCTTTGTCGAATCCGTTCCAAAGGCGGACAGCCAACACCAGAGAGTATGTCCGGAAGTGGAAGACTATTGATCGCACGTACTAACCGCTATCAGCTGCTGGGGCTACCGGTTCGAGTGGACGCCTGAACATCTGACTCCGGAGCAGATGAAACCTATGAAGTTTTCGTACGATGTTCTGGCAGAGGAATGTCTTGATCGTTTGAACGCTATCTCGCCACCGCACAAGGGTGCTTTGCCAAGGAACGATAGTAATCGTGCCGCGCTATCGTCAGCTCCGGGCACCGAGGAAGAGAAGAAGGAACCATTGCCGGTACCTAAGAGGGACCTCTACACTTTACTGGAAGAGCATCACGACTCCGATCCCAAGCTTGCAGAGCTTTGGCGCGAAGTACAGACTGTACCAGATTGGGTAGACTGGGACCAGATCGCAAGAGGGCAAGATGTGTTCTACCGCTACGGTGGGCCTGCCCTGACTGGCCTTACTTTCCAATCGCTACTAGGAGGAATGGGCGCCGCGCGAGTGGTCGAGACATTAGCACGAACTGGAGGCTTTAGCACAAAGGTCGCAAGAGGCAGACTCTTCGAAACCACGCAGCATATCCTCCAATGCACACGAACACTAGACGGACTCAAACCAGGCGGGGAGGGATTCGCCTCGTCGATACGCGTCCGCTTCCTGCACGCCGCAGTCCGACAACGCATCATGAAGCTCGCTAAGGAGCGACCCAGTTATTTCGACGTCGAAGAATGGGGGATACCGATTAACGATATGGATCAGATAGCAACGATCGGTACTTTCTCCTCTACACTCATCTATCTCAGTTTCCCTCGCCAAGGCATATTCCTTCGGAAGCAAGAGATTGACGACTACCTAGCCCTGTGGCGGTACATCGGATACCTGATGGGCACGCCCGATGAATGGCTGTCGACCCCAGTAAAGGCAAAGGCCATCATGGAATCACTTCTCTACCACGAGGTCGACCCCTCGGAAATGTCCAAAACAATGGCAAACAACATCATCTACGCCCTCAAAGAAGAGCCTCCAACTTTCTCCTCAGCAGACATGCTGACCGCCAGTGCACGCTGGCTGAATGGTAATGCGCTCTGCGACCGCCTCGGTTTAAAGCGCGTCTCCGCATACTACTGGTCGCTCATGGCGGGCCAATGTCTCTTTTTCATCTTCTATTGCTACACATATCGTTTTTTCCCTGATGCGGATCGTAGACGAATAGATCGTGCGAAGGACATCTTCTGGCAGTTGATAGTGAAGGCGAAGTGGGGTTTGGCAGGCATGGAAACATCGTTTGATTTCAAGTATGTGCCACAATATGATACCTTGACACATCTGGGTAATATTGGAGAGAGGAAAAAGGTGTCTCTCAGCAATGAGCTGAGGAATTTGAAGGCGCTCGGGATTGGAGTGGGGGTGTTGGCTGTCGGAACGCTGGTTGCGGCCAAGGTTGCAGCGAGTGTTATTGGGAGATTGTGGTAGCTTTCGTGTAGATACTTTGCATGTCGGTATGCGTTGTATATTCTGAACACTTCGTACTTAGTTTCGGGGATTTTGTCATATGTGCGTAAGTGAAGGCACCTCTTACTTGCCGTACACCTCACCGTCAACAGTTATAACTTATCTATTCTTTCTCAACTATAACTTTGACGTCCTCATATCGCTATTCCCGATCGTTTTTCGCGCAACTGCAACAACAGGAAGACTCTCCCATACACTAATTACTTTCGCAACCCAAGACGTATCAGCACCAGCCTTTATCACAATAGGAAAACGCAAGTGTCCTCAGAACAAAAAGCAAGATGGCGTCTGTGGCTGCCCTTCGTTTTGGAGGCGATCTAGGGCCAATCCACTATCTAACGTCAAGGACTTGTCTACACCAAGTACAAAGCTCCCTCCCGATACTATTGTCATTGACAGAGAGCTTGAGGATGACAGCGACTTGCATCAGCGAAAGCGACAAAAGCGAGAGTATAATTTCTTCCGTCAAGATGGCGAGTTAATTCCTGCGAGATTGAAGCTCTCAACGTACACGAATAGTAAAGTCTTGATTGCAAAGCATCCTGAAGACAAACAAGATATCGCAAAGATGAACACACAAGCACAGGAGAAGGCGGCCGTAAAGGAGAAGGCCAAGGTGAACACGCCGGTACGGATCTTGGTCGACTATGTCTTACCCACTGATGCTGAGCGGTTGGATTGGGATACAGACGAAGTCCGTATAATGGCTGGCGAGATTGAGGGTGGAGGATACAGGGCTTAGAATTGGATTAGGGTGACAGGCATAGGGAAGTGTTTGCGAACACGACTGGTGATCATCTGTCATATCGGACTTTGAAATCCTTGATTGTTCATGCGGAATGCATATCTCATTGCCGATGAAACACTGGTATATATGCATTCTATTAGATGGGTATAGGTACTACCTAGCGGAGGTTTTGCGAAGAGTATGCAAGAATATGAGATGAGAGCCATAACCACCATGAGCGTCTCCAGTTGTCACCAGACATATGGCTAAACCGAAATTAGTCAACAATCCAGGGGTGAGGATTTAATGTGCTGACCTTGTTCTCATAAGTCCAGAAAGTACCACTGTGCTGTATGCCTTTGCTTTTGATGACTTCGATCATCTTCATGACCGACTCTTCTGGCGTAATTATGCCTTGGACTTCCCATGGCAGTTGGACGTTCGCCATGTCTGTTGCAACTTCCCCTGGGTGCATGCATAGGATGATGGTATCATCGTCTTTCCTCTTCAACTCAGCAGCCATATGTCTGACCGCCATGTTGAGTGCAGCTTTGGAGGCAGCATATGCAGCGAAGCCATCTTCCATTTCGCGGAAGTTACCTTGGGAGCCCGAATCACTGGACATGAATGTGATGGTGCCGATGGGAATGTTCGTCTGAAGTAGCTTCTGGGCTGTGATGATAGGCCCGATTGTGTTAGTGTGCAGATGGAAAGCGAACTCGTCGAACGATCTGCCAGATGTTAACCTTCGATACTACAAGTGCCTGAGAGCAATTGGAGTTTATTGGAAATGCACGCTTTAGCCAGAACCAGCAAGGCGCAACGGGTTGGGTAATGGAGAACATACAGCTCAGTGGCCCTCTACATCGGTTAGTGCGGCTCCCTTGCATGCTGTCGATGATGTCGGACTTACATTCGGGTACCTTAGAACACCTGCGTTTAGCACGACATAGTCTATCTTTAGGTTCGGTATCATTGCCAGCTGCGCAACGAATTTCTGTACATGATCAGTTTTTGTTCATCTCAGATGGTACTGTAGCATTTAGTAGACACGCATACCTCGATGCTCTGCTCTGACAGAATGTCACATGTATACATTTGGCATCGGCCATGATCGCTCCCCGCTTGTCCCCACAAGCCACTGGCATGACCAGCCCAAGGCTCTCGTACAGTAGCGATGATGCGCTCGTTCTTATTTAACAGCTGTCTGACGAACTCTAGCCCTATGCCTCTGCTGGCGCCGAGTATTAGCCATGTGGTAAAGTCCTCGTCGGCATATAGAATGCCCGGAATCTGGTCCATCCGGTCTGTCGAGGTGTGGCGGGGCAAACGATGATGTCAACCGTTCAGCTGGGGCTGAAAAGTGACTGACCAACACTAGAAGGCTGCTTGTGACGAGGGTAGAATAGTGACGATCCTGGTCGGCACTTGAAATAGTAATGTGCTGCTGTCCAGATAACAGAGGACAATACTCATGACCCTGGCCCGTTATGTTAGGGGACCAGAAGCGTGGAGGTGCGCGGGTTAGTGGATGTCACATCGATTTGCGGACCCTTGCACAGGCTTCACATTTCGTATTTGGTGCCAAAAGCAGGGACGGGGACGAAGCATCCTGCAGGGCGGCCAGATAGTCCAGACGCTTCTATTGCAACCACCGGAGAAAGAAAAGCTGATTTCTTTTTCCCATGTTTGGCGGTACGGAGAATGCTGATTTTGCCCATAGCAGCCAGGGCAACATTTCTTAGATTGGTGACGGCATCACATCACAAGCTCCATGCGAGATTGCCGAGTTTGTAGCAAAATAGTTTAGGGAGTCGTAGTGGGCGGCGTGGCGTGAAAGTACTAACGGCAAGTTGGCTGAGGAACAGAGACCAGATTCGGCGTCTGCACCGCCATTCCATCGCGATTCCTGTTTGCCATCCCGGACCGGTTCCACCCGAGCACATTTGCTACTGACTTATAGTTGTCATCTGATTGGCTGATCCCGTGACCCGTGCTCGCGTCAAGGCCCGTCATTTCATCGCGGCTAACGGCAGGATTCTTAAAACTCTCACAAGTCTCTCAACTCCTACTTCGCCAGTTTTTCTCCCAAGCAGACTCTCAACTACGACCACGACCACACTACCTCTTACCACTTCACCTCCACCAACACTTCATCTTACCAAAACCAACCTCACATCTTCAAAATGGGTTTCGAGAAGGGTACGTTTTCTTGACACCTGTCGGACGTCATCGGCCGTTTTCCACTTTGCCCACGAGCGTCCACCAGCCATTGAGCCCGCGCGCACAACGAGATGCGAACCTCATGAGCAGCAGACTATCCGCGGCCTACTGGCTGGGTAGTGTGCACCTCAAGAAGCGGTGTGCACAAGGTGGCAGCTTTGCGACAAAGGGGTGACGGTGGCGGATTGTTCGGCTGTAAAAGAAAAATCGTCCACGGCACATGGCTAACATCTTCCACAGGCGATTCCAAGAAGGGTGCCAACCTCTTCAAGACCCGTTGCGCTCAGTGCCACACCCTGAAGGAGGGTGAGGGCAACAAGATCGGCCCCAACCTACACGGTCTCTTCGGCCGTAAGACCGGTCAGGTCGAGGGCTTCTCATACACCGATGCCAACAAGCAGAAGGGTATCGAGTGGAACAACGACACTCTCGTACGTTTCGCCACACAAATACACATCTGGCAGACTCACCGGCTAACACACCACAGTTCGAGTACCTCGAGAACCCCAAGAAGTACATTCCCGGAACCAAGATGGCTTTCGGTGGTCTCAAGAAGCCCAAGGACCGTAACGACTTGATCACCTTCCTTGCTGAGGAGACCAAATAAGCGTCTCTCGTCATACGAACGTTTATCCCATCCTCTCGACACGCCATGACCTTTCTCTAATACCTTTTCGGCCCAAAATCTGTTTGGATTGTACCATCATCGATGATAGACGAACGACGGAGGCGGTGAGCGCAGTAGAGCGCATTACTTCTCCATGTAGATTATGTTGGGTGTATCATTTCAGGGCGTCTTTCGACTTTGGTGCAGCATAGAGCCAGTTTGGAACTTAGTGGCACTTTCGAAATACCAAATCTCCTCTACCGACCATACCTGAGTTTCAATATGATGTTGTGAACAGGTTGCAGTGCCTGTAGTCTTGAACAACTTAGCGTCGTCTTCTAAAGATGCAGAATTGACGGAATCGTCAATTGCACGCCTACAAACCTCAATAGACTGAGCCAATGGCATACATGGCAAATTTTCTGACACGTTGCGCGATATTTCCACAAAATGTACAGACTAACAACGATAGTTCAGGACTAGCCACAAGGGTGCGACTCACGCGAGCACCGAACATGCTCGCTGCTCGGACCTGAGGAACATGCAGCCAGGAACTGGGAACATGCGCTCTACCGGTGCTTTCTCCGAGAGCTAGCCGAGGGTAGTGTGGCTGGAGCTTTTGGATGCTTGCGGAAGAGCATTTGCAATGACAACAGTGTTGGTCTGGGCAGGACAACGTGGGCAGCAAAAACAAAGATGAGCCAAAAATTGACACAATCGGTCTCGTCAAGTGCGGGATACCAGTGATTTAAGCGTGAGGTTTCGTGGCGCCTTTTGCCCATCTTCTCCACGCGAAAGCAGTTCAAGTGTGGGGGAAGCGCAGGTCCTCGTCGCAGTGGTGTCATCGCCGGAAGACTCCGTGTACATCAACTATCTAGTCTGTGTCACCGGGCACACAAGCACATGTGTCTCTCTTCCACTCCATCCTTGACTTTCTCAGTCCGCTTCCGAGCATACAAACGCGTCGTTACCTCGGCCTGTGCCATCACGACCAGTTAGCGTCATAGTGGGGCGGAGCTGGGCTTCGGTAGCTCGACAGTGAACACCACCACCACCACCACCAACACCACTTTGGCGAAGACGCAGCGACAAAGGCCGTTACGGCCTCGACAATTGGCATCATGTCGTGGAAACGGAGCGAGAGGTTGATGGATACCATCAAAGTAGGCGAGTCTGTCGCATAGCCCGAGTTGTCGCTAACACTTGGATAGCACTATAGCAACTTTCCAGCAACGGGCATGTAGGACCCGTAGTCATTCCTAGCAGCCATCTAATGTCCTATCAGGTGTATCTCTACGGCAAATGGTCCAATTTGGAGAGAAGCCATCTACGGGAACCCTCTTCCGCGCGTCACAATTCCTCTCCGAGGAACTGCCCATACGGTTAGCACACCGAGTGCAAGAACTCAATGAACTTCCAGATGGCCTCAATGAGATGCCGTCTATACAAAGAGTGCGCGATTGGTATGCGCAGTCGTTTGAAGTGTGTATTGCTGAGGTTCTCGTTGGAGCGCGTTGACTCATTCAACAGGAACTCGTCGAATTACCCCGGCCGACCCTCTCGAGCGAGATCAAAGAGCGACTACTAAAACCAGCCAAGAAGAGCGGCGACAAGAACTTGATGAGCAAGCCGACCCAGAACCCTAGCATCAAGACTGGACAATACCGATCCGCGCCGACGACGAATGGCAACGGAAACGGGAACTCGAACGGAAACGGCGGTGGCATCACAAAGGAAGTCAAGGGCGCAAGCCGAAGATACTATGCTGCGGCTGACGACGGACAAGACTGGCCACCAGAGCTGGGCGCATACAACACAAAGTTCGCAGACACATTGGAGAAGATCAAGAGGCGGCACGACAGCGTCGTGACGACCGTTGCGCAGGGCATCCTCGAGTGGAAACGCAAGAGACAAAGGATGCAGATTGATCACAATATCCAAGCTTTCCTCGACCGTTTCTACATGTCGCGTATCGGTATTCGTATGCTCATCGGCCAGCACATCGCCCTGACAGACCAACGCTCGCGGACCGATCCCAACTACGTCGGAATAATTTGCACAAAGACCAATGTTCAAGAACTCGCCCAGGAAGCTATTGAGAATGCGCGCTTCGTTTGCGAGGACCACTACGGACTCTTTGACGCACCAAAGGTCCAGCTCGTATGCAATCCGAACATCAGCTTCATGTACGTGCCCGGGCATTTGTCGCATATGCTCTTCGAGACACTCAAGAACTCTCTTCGTGCAGTGGTGGAAAGACATGGTGAAGATAAGCAAGAGTTCCCCGTGACCAAGGTCATCGTTGCAGAGGGCAAGGAGGATATTACCATCAAGATTTCGGACGAAGGAGGCGGCATCCCTAGATCCTCCATTCCACTGGTATGGACGTACATGTATACGACTGTCGACCAAACGCCGAGCCTGGACCCCGACTTCAACAAGAGCGACTTCAAAGCTCCCATGGCTGGATTCGGTTATGGACTACCTATATCGAGGCTATACGCACGCTACTTTGGAGGAGATTTGAAGTTGATTTCCATGGAAGGGTAAGCACGAACCCACTCCTAAAATAGCGCATTCACTAACACTTCATATCTAGATATGGCACCGACGTCTACCTCCACCTCAACCGCCTCTCCTCGTCATCAGAACCTCTGCAATAGCAATTACCCGTCATGAGGGGCGGATGGACGTCGAGCGAACTCATCCGGTCATCCCGAGGAATGGCACAAGGTAACAGTTCGCGAAAGTACAACCCTTTCCTGGCCAGCAAGGCGATGAAGCTGAAGTTGTCTGGTCAGGTGAGTAGAGAGATTAGCGAGAGGAGACAGGTGGGCGATGCGGCGGATATGTTTGCCGATAAGGCGAGCAGCGAAGGGGAGAAGCCTTGGTGGAGGAATGTAGGTATGGAAGAAGGCATGTGAGGTGTAAGATGTTGGACTTGGAACAATTATTCAGACAAGTGGCTGGAGGCACTCGCGGATTCGGGTGCCTGCGACCTTGCAAGGTATCATGCTTTGAGCCAGGCATGATGATACGATACGGCGTTTGGCGAATGCCATGTTATGATCTCAAAACACATGAGAATGAGGCGGAAAGATAGTTACGCGAAATAGTAACGTTGTTCGTCTTGCCTAAAAAACCTCATATAATGCTTGATATGGAAACACCAAGGGGTATAAAGCTAACCGTGCTCTGTCCTTTCCCATGGACCGATATATACCAAAACCACAATATTCAACGCCGCAATCAATTCACATTTACCTTGAAATACCCCACTTCAACCGTGCCCTTGTCCAGAACTAACCCTCTTTCTCATCTTGGCGAGATCCCTCTCCTTGCCCTTCGCACTTCTCGCCGGACTTCCACCTGCCACACTCTGCCCTTCTGCGGGTCCACCTGCCGAGCCTTGAACCTCCCACTCATCACGCCAAGCTACAACATCTTTCTCCCATTTCGTAAGGCCAAGAACGACGTTCCGATAGTGTGCGCGCGTTTGCGGTATACTCTGTCTCATGAATCAAGAGTTAGTATCCATTCACCACGATATAAGTATAAGAGAGGGCAGAGTGATCGCCATACCTCATTCCTCACACCCGCAATCCACATAAGCATCTCCTCACTCTCCAATATACTAATCGCCTCATCCCTCCTCTGCCTCTCTTCCCAATCCTTTCCCTGTGGCCCCGCTGCGCCAAAATGGTAGTTCTTGCCTCGCGCTTGTAGACTCCTTCTTGTTTCCAGCATGGATTTGCTGGGAGTTATACCACTACCACTGCCGCTTCCTCCTAATCCTCCTCCTGCTTGTTTGTGCCCCGATCCTTGTCCCTGTGGCGATTGCTGATATACTCTCGGCGCGTCGAACCACCCCGCGCTGGCATCGTTGCTGGGGCCAGCGCTGGAACTACCGGCTAGGTGTTGGGGTGTAAGTGTAGTCGGTCCTTGATGTCCACTATGTGGAGTATTGGATTCATATTCTCCAGGTATTCCGCCGCTAGTAGTGGATGCGTGGCCACCGGGGATCGCAGATGATGAACTGGTCATGTTGCTTGTGAGTTGTTCGTATTGTTGTTGTTCGGTGTCGTGTTGGCTAAGGAAGTTTGCGCCGGCGGGGGTTGGGGGTTGCCATGTCATTGTTGCATTGCTGGAAGATTTTGGCGACAAGCTCAGTGTCTGTGTTGTGCGATGTTGTTGGAGCGCGTTGGGTATGAATGTGAAGAGAGCTTGGAAGCTGAGTGGGGTCTCGATGTTGATGGTCAATGTCCGCGGGGGAGGCTTAGATGGGAAGGTGGCAGCAACAAGACACTACGATTGAGCGTTCTAAGACCTGTCACATATGCTTGTTTATTAGTACTTCATCTACTACTTGCATCGTAGCTAATCGAAAAGTCAGAGCATATGCATTGCTGAAGAAAAGACTCAATATCAGGATGTCCTTTGACATTGATATCTGGTAGCTACTGTCATGCCTTGAAACGTCGACACCTCCTCCCTTTGACCGTCGACTTTGGGATATTGCCGTCTAGTGATGTGACCAAAACGCTGAAATGCCAATCTATGCCAAATGCTTAACACACACACGCCGAGAGATTAACCTTGAGCCGATCAAAACACAAACCCCACATAACCTTCTTTGTCCGTCTATAGTGTCGATGCTAGTTCGTAAGGATTCTTCCCACATCCGCTCCCAAGGGAAGCGGCGCCGAGCATATTTCCCCGGGAGCTGGATGGAGTTAGGCCTATGTGCTGCCATTTGCAGGCTGATGCTCAGCCTTGCTGCCCTTACCTCGCCAGGTGCTGACTGCCGGGATATCGGCCTTCAGTCTCTCTTCTTGTGTAGAGTACGCCTTGGGCGTCAACTTGATCAACGTGTGTAGTGGGACTTCCATCCATGGGCTCTGCTCCTGCGGTACGTTCATGAAGTATGCGTAGATACACCTGAGAATGGCCTGGTGTGTGACGATCAAGATGTTCTCGCTGCGCTCTAGCTCCATGATGATGGGCTCGAGGCGGATAACGACGTCGCGATATGACTCTCCACCCAAGTAGCGGTAGTTGTATTTGTCTTCATCGCGTTGCTTGAAGTCTTCAGGGAACTTTTGCTCGATTTGAGCGTATGTAAGGCCATCGCAGACACCGGAGTCGAGTTCGTCGAGCGCTTTCCATTCCAACTTCTCAAATGTAAGGAATCGTGCGGTTTGAATCGTCCGCTTCAAGGTTGAGGTCCAGACAGTAAGTTTGCGGCCGTCGCCAACAGATTTCGCAACCAGGCCGGGAAGCGCATGCGCGTAGGCGTCGCCTCGCTCTGAGAGGTTGGCATCTCCACCGATTTGTCCTGTGAGGTTGTACTCGGATTCACCGTGCTGCTACGATTAGCCTTCATAGCGTAGTCTCGCAAAGATTACTTACTCGCGATAACCAGATCGAACGCGGCTTGATGTGGAGGTTCATCAAGTAGTACACCACTCTACTCTGGAGATAATCCTGGATCTGGTTGATGATGACCTGCTTACCCACGTCGATAAGCTTGACATATGTAAGGTCGCGCTCGTCTTCGTCTATTGTCTGGTACACCTTCTCGTAGTTGCGAATACGATTGCGGAAATCTGCTGCAGCTTCCTCGGGGTCCTGGCCAACATAGTCTGGAGAAGTCGTCTTTACTTCTAGTATGTTGCTCATAATGAGATCCTCATCGTCACATTTTGACTCAACGAACAACGTCTCGATGTTCTCCGCAGCACATCGTTCTTGAATCCACCTGCGACGGCTCTTGGTCGAGTTTGTGGCGTCTAGTATTGCGATCAAGCCCCTGCCCTCGGAAAACCACTTGCACATGTCATTGACGGCTGCTTCGGCGGCTGCTTTTCGGAGGCGCTCTCCTTCGGGGTTGGAGGTGTCGAAGAACTCGGCGGAGGGGTTAGGGGTTGCAGTACGGCGATACTGTCCAACGTTGAACGTCTTTGATTTGATCGATAACCAATGTAGGTAACGAACGACTGCAGGACAAAGGTTTAGCAGTTGCACAGGATCCTGTAGGAGAAGCTTACCTTTCTGTGCGATCAGACTCTTGCCCCGCGCAGGCAAGCCCACCATGACAACGCATATCCGCGTGTCTTCGGCCTGTACACCAGCACCGTTAGTCTTTCTGCTTGGTCTTACGAACTCGCCAGCAGGCACTGCGCGCATATTTGGCGCATAAATCCCATTGGAGTCTGTCATTGTGTGTCGCGAGTCCAGCTCTCTGAAATCCAGTAACGGCGACGCGAATGTACAAGAAGTTGAGAAAAGTTATGAGATCGGAAATCTAGCCGAAGGTATTCCGATATGCAGCGATAGAATGCGGCTTTTAATCAAAGATGCAGCAAGGACAGATGCTAAGCGGTCAACAGAAGCCACAGGAGTCGCAGGGCTGGAATCGTCTGTTAGGTGAAGCGATAAGTGTATGGACGTTGAATGTCGTGTTGCAGAGTCGTGAGATCGGCCCGGCAGTCAAGAAGCGAGAGGAGATGGATTGATTGACGATGATTCCCCCGCATTCGGTACGGCGTCCTTCTTTTCACAAGCCAGAAAGCAAGCGTTCGGATTGCGGCTCCAGGCTAGCGGGCACGGTGGAGCAGATGTAACGGGTGATTCTCATTCGATAGCAGATGCTCTGGCTGCAGTTGATTGTGTCCACTTGACCGGCAGTCGTGACAGTGCAACAACAGTCGTCGCTGGCGCCTACCAATTCGTGTTCCTTGGGGCTCGGCCTCCAGCAATGGGCGCCATCAGGCCAGTTTCAAGCAGTCGCCGTGTTGCTACGAATTCTCCGGTCGTGTGCCATGATGCCACATGCTTCTGCGGTATGACGACAACGGCTCCAGCAGCATAGCTAGGGGTAGTCCAGAACCATGCCATACATACTAAAGCCGCCGAAAGCCGGAAAGACGTGATGGATGGGTACGAAATTTCTTTACGTTGTAGTAGTCGCACGCCAGTCGTCGTAAATCGGCGAAAAACAATGGTGCACCCTGGAGATCTTCGCAAGAAAAAAGACAACTTACAGTTGATATCGAGTAGGTCCGAGTGTGACCCATTTTTGACATCAGTACGCGTTGTGATGATGGCGTCACGCAAGCTGTTGTTGTGGCGGGGCAGTGGGCTGGCAAAGTATTGTATGTCTAGCAATCTGTCGCTTGGGTATTGAAGGTAGGAGGATTAAATGCACATCTCGAAAACGGAGTAGATTGTTCCTCGAAGCTGCTAGATGTGTACACGCAAGCCCGGGGTACGTCCAGACCGCTATCGCTCTGGTACTGCAGTGTGTGATCGCCGCGGGATTGGTTATCTCACATGGCTACCACTATTCTCCCCACGTGTAGGCAACCTGATAACAATGCATAGTGACTGGCAGCCGCTATTTGAAAAGCACTCATATCCAAAGGTGTGGCCATTACCAATATTAAAGACTTGTATTTTTTCCCAACGGGTTCAACAATGCTCATTATATCATCGTCTTTCATATACCTATACCAAAATTTCGCCTACGCTATGTGCAATCCTACGCCATAGTCCAAGCTATAAAGATGCGGGTATCTAGCAATGCTAAAATCATCTTGCGCTACAAAATGCGATGCGAAATCAATCTCCAGACGGCCGTTATGTGTCATGGCCTCTGATGAAGCCAGCTAAATATCAAGCATGTAGTTTGGCCATTCCGTTGACCCGGTGAGCGTCGTCGATTCCACTCTGCAAAGCAAGGAGAGTCGCGCTAGCATCAAGCCGTCGCTTTAATGCTGCTGCTGTCCTTTCCTGTCCCCTGCTACCAATGCCTTCTTCAACCCATCGGATCTTGTTGATCATAAAGCTGAGACCTTCGTGAGCTTTGCTCTTCCTGCTCGAAATGCCATACTCGACAGACCCAGTGTATTCTTGGAGTTGCGGTAGGATGAGTATCTCAATCTGCAGGTCCATGTCGGCAGGCGGCGTCACAGGAGCAGCCGGGGTCTTGGTCAGAACATCAGCAGCATCGGTTGGGTCGTTGGGCGCGGTGATGCGTGGATCGAGCATGGCAACATCAACGGTATCATCCCATTCGCCACGTATCCACCCAGAATGGATCGCTGCAGCAATAGGGTCCGAATCATCGCGGTACACGCGCGCACCCCAAAGATGTCTCTCCAACACAACATGCTGGCGTTGTCGTGGTTTTAGGTAGTATCTAGGTACTCTGATGGTAAAAGTGCAATTGATGGGGTTAACATCGAAGCGAGGCAGACGTTGGGGTTTCGAGGCATATCCGAATTGATCGTCTAGCGACGAGTTGGGTTTTGGCAGTTCTGTCTTAGCTTCGTACAATTGCGATCCAAGATGCTTACGAGGACGTTTAGCAGCTTCCTCAAGGATAGGTTGCACGTCGTGGACCTTAGTGAGGACCTTTGTGACTTGTTGCGGCGGCTGGTGGGCAACTCGGGGGGCGTGGTGGTGGTGATGGTGATGTGGATTTGCTCCAATATGATGGTGGTGATGAACCGACTGGCCTGGGCCGGCTTGTGGTAAGCTCGCTTGTCGCCCGTTAATCGAAGTTGAGGCTGGTGGCATGGACGCGTCCTCGTCAGGCTTGTGGTGGTGATGATGGTGGTGACTATGCTGTTAGTAAATACCTCGACAGAGGCTGAGTGGACTCACTGATGATGGTGGTGTTTGTTCCGCTTAGCCCCACGAGCGCCAGGTGTTCCCCTGCCGTCAGCGTTCTCCATGTCGAAAATGCCTTCCTCGTCCTTGACTCGTTTCGGCGGCTTTCTGCCTTGCTGGGAGCCGATCCTTCTCATCATTTCGCCGTTGTCCGACTCAAATGAGCCCTGACCGTTTTGTGGCATGGGACTTCCCCGCGACGGAGTCGACGATCCCAAGCCGCTGCCGAGGCCGGAGAACATGCGTCCGAATTCGCTTTTGATACCAGGATCTTTGCCAATTGACAAGGGCTGCGCCTGGGCACCTTGAACAGCTTGTGGTAGTGGGGACGCTCTGCCAGTCCGTCTGCTTGCTTCCAAGCCAAAGCCAATGTGTGATTTGGAGTGTTGCATGGCTTCGCCCATCTTGGGAGGCTGGTCGTATAGGGATCGGGATGACAAAGAGCGCGCGAGTGGCTCAGTCCTATGTCGCTCAGAGTTGGGATCGGAGGTAGGAGGAGCGTGATACTGCTCCACAACGCGGTGGCCCAGCTGGTCTACACTGCGTCGCAGCATTTCGTCGGAGCTTGGTGGGCCATAGCGAGGACCACCTAGCATGTGCGGAGGGTATGGGCCGTAAGTGCGATGCATCGGTGGAGGCTCCTCTGCGCGACTATCCTGGGGAGGCTCGCGAGCAGCACCGGTGGGTGCTGATTGACGCCAGAGACTGCGCGGAGGTTCTGCTGAGCCAGAGATATTGCGTTGCGGTTGAGGCGGACTGAAGCCAGATTGCGACACAGGGTGCACAGTCACAGGCCGATCTCTCTCGGACGCGCTGTGATTTGTGCCTGCTAAGAGCTCTGCAGCGTTGGGCCTTGCGTGATGCGACTCGCCCAGTGTGCGTCGTCGCTCCTCAGGTGGTCCAAAGGCGCTGCGCCGACCTGCAAATCCATCGTACATGGACCTCCCATCTTGTTCAGTGTTTCCTTGAGAACCCATGGGCTGGCTGTTGGGTCGAGATGGGACGTTTCCAGACGGCTGACGCCCTGCATCGTGCGCATATGGACGATGGCCAGGGAAATTCAACGGCTTGTAGGATTGCGCATTTGGCGGTAGCGACTGGCGGGCTGGATCAGGCGAACCTTGGTTGCTGTAGGACTGTCTGGGTGAGCCAGCCGAAAAGGCGTGTCCCTCCGATGAGCGCGAAGTATTGCTAGCGTACATGCTGCGCTCTGGAGTGGACTGGCGACGGAACGGGGGGAAATCTGATCGTGCGCCAGCTGGCAAGGCACGCCGGGGCGAAGGTGGCTGCATGCTGTGACTGTTGGCAGATGAGGCGTTGGTGGGAGGTGAGGGCTGTGGTTGTGTTGTTTGATTAAGGGCCCCTGTGTCACCCCCACCGCCGATGAGAGAGGAGATGGACATGCTGCTTCCCGGTCGCAACGCCTGCCCTAAGCCAGGAAGCTCTCTGTTGGCGCCAAAGTTGGAGGTGTATTGTGAACGCTGCGACTGGGATGCATGAAGATGCTGCTGCGTGGGAGAGGATGGGGGAGGCATTTGGGGTCGCGCGAAGGATGGTGGAGGTGGAGGGTCGTGAGACGGGCCTGGAGGGAGAGTTAGTCTGGGACAAAGCTTGAACCATTGCTTTTGGGAGCGGGGCTGTACCATAGGAGGTCGGGGGACTGGCGCCGTTCAGCGAAGAGTTGCGCGCAGCATCGAAACTATAGGGCGCAGGCGGTTGAGGATTGTTGGAGGCCGTCATTTGCGGTGGAGGGTTTGTCTGAGAGCGATGAGTCTCGTAGTGTATCGGTCGCGCTAAAGACATGGATCAGCACAAGCTCGGACATTGAGTCGCGACTTTTCGAAAGAGGTTTAGAGGCCCGCGGATCGTGCATTAGCTAGGAGCCACATCTGCGGAGTGCGCCATAGAATTCGCCAGACCCATGCCAACTCCACCGACAAATGCGCGCACCGTTCTGCAATCCAAATGCTCGGTTGGTGTGGCTCGGGATGCTATGGCGACACTAGTAGGGAAACACTGCCTGCATTTGCTTGCATTCATATGACGAGAGGGGCGGTGAAGTGCTTTTTCGCAATTGACGTGTCATACCGCACGTCAATGCAGCCAACGGCTTCCCACTACCGTCTCTTGCCTGTCTTTCCACCACCCAGACAGCACCCAGGTCAAAATGCAGCCTGGGTGACTTGAGCACCTTTGTGACTGGTAAGAGGTACAAAAATGCGCAAACAAGTCCAGACTACACTACTGATGCTTTGTCCCTGGCCTGTGCACTGCGCAGATGTGCTCTTGAAGACATGGGCAAAGATGTAGACCTACCTGTATTTGACCAACTACCCTGTCCTTGCCCCTCAGCCTGGCCTTGCGGCGCCTTGTTACCAGCGGACCGTCCTTGACTACTGCCTCGAGCATGTTGTGGTCCTGACGGGAGGAATGGGTCGCGACGGGGCATCGAGTACGGGTCGACGGTGTAGGCAGCATGGGGCGGCTGTTGCTGCGGTTGCGAGGCTGGCGGGTAGCCTGGATACGCTTGCGTCGTCTGCGGGTGGTAGTTCACAGGGCCGTCTGGCGGACGTTGGTAGGGTGGTGGGCGATCCATAGTCGACTTGGGCTCATCTGAGTAGTGAGGACGAGGGAAGATATCGGGATGGCGAACAGGACCTCGCAAGGTAGTCTGAGTCGATGGTAGAGTATTCAACGAGCTGCCGTATTGCAGAAGGAAAGAAGCCTCGAGCATGCGAGGAAACGAGAAGGCGCAATGGGACCAAGCGCCAGCATCCCTGTAGGATATAGCGCAGCCCCGCAGCCCGACTAGAGCAAGGTATGACATGTGTGATAGGCCTTTGCACCCACCCCCAAGACGTTTGCTCGACAAAAAGCCATCATGATGCGTATACCAGAGGAACCTGGCAATACTTGGTCGACAGTGCCTGACAGTCTCGCCCAGTCTGTTGCCACTCAAGACACACAAAGGAACGCGCATGCCATGCGACTCGGAACATCTGACGCCCGTTTGTCGCCCATGCAGCCCGTTCCTGAATCGTTCCTTGACCGCCTGGTGCCAAGCCCTGATCGGCAGGTGCCCCCATCCATGTCACTGGTCCAGCCACAGCCATCATCAACACTCCTCGTCGTCTGAGGCACACGACACGTGCCAGTCGCCTTCACCCTCAAAACTACGATATGTGAAGTGCCACCACCTCTGCAACCTATGCCGCTCCTCCCCATGCCTGGCTCCCCCGCTTCTTCCTGGGCCGTCTATCGTGCGCGCTTGAAGGCTGTCTTCCACGGCGCTGATCCACGCGTATGCGCCGCCTTTTGGTTGTTTGGTATGCATGCACCTGAACCCTCGATGAGGGGCTGCACCGCGGCAGCTAACAGCCCTAGGCCTCATTAACAATGTCCTCTACGTAATCATCCTCTCCGCTGCTCTCGACCTCGTTGGTCCAAATGTCCCCAAAGGCGCCGTACTTCTAGCCGATGTTATCCCTTCGTTCCTGACAAAACTATGCGCCCCATACTTCATACACAAGATCCCATACACTGTTCGCATCCTCATATTCGTCGCTCTCTCGGCATGCGGCATGCTCATCATCGCCCTCACCCCTCCGCTGCAAGACTCGAGGACCATTGCCATCAAGATGTGTGGAGTGATGCTTGCCAGTCTGAGCAGTGGAGGTGGTGAACTGAGCTTCCTTGGCCTAACGCATTACTATGGCCACTTTGCTCTGGCTTCTTGGGGCTCAGGTACTGGCGGCGCAGGTCTAATCGGTGCCGGAGCGTATGCCATCGCGACCAACACGCTGGGCGTTACCCCTCGCACAAGTCTACTTGTCTTTTCCTTCCTGCCGCTAATCATGGTCTTGAGTTTTTTCGTCATACTCCCACTTGGGCCGCTGCGTGCTGGCGCTCCGAAACAAGGTGGTTACGAAGCCATCGATGACCAAGGGGACGACGAGGAAGACGAGGTTGCCCAGACGCATGAACAAGACGATCTACTGTCTTCCTCCATGCATTCGGCTTCAGGGCGCAGCTTCACTTCCGTCAATAACAAGGGTGCTAACAGTGCACTGAGTAGCTTCCGGGCGAACCTCAACCGGGCGCGAGGATTGTTCTTCCCGTAGTAAGTCTATTGTACACACTCTGAATACGCCAGGCTGACCTACCGTAGCATGTTGCCCCTACTCCTCGTCTACATTGCTGAGTACACCATCAACCAAGGCGTTGCACCTACTCTGCTATTTCCCCTCGAATCCTCCCCCTTCGACGAATACCGTTCTTTCTACAGCACGTACAACGCCATCTACCAGGTTGGTGTTTTCATCTCACGCTCATCCACACCCTTCATACGCATACACCACCTATACGTCCCATCACTTCTTCAAGTGGCCAACCTCATCATCCTCGCCCTGCACGCCATGTTCAATTTCATCCCGAGCTACTACATCGTGTGCGTTATCATATTCTGGGAAGGCCTGTTAGGCGGGTTGGTCTATGTCAGTACCTTTGCTGAGATCACGGATAACGTTCCGAAAGAGGATAGGGAATTTAGTCTGGGTGCGACCAGTGTGAGTGATTCTGGAGGTATATGCATCGCTGGGTTCTTAGGCATGGCCATTGAGGTAAGTCTGTGTCGCTGGCAAGTTAATCATGGCAGGAATTACTGCAAATTGCAGTGAGATTCACAATATCATACACTATCAAAAACCTTGGTTCCGTACCGTTTGAATCATCCTTATCATATGACTCTGATCTCGCGGTCCAATCAGAAAAGCTCCTACGACTCGTTTAGAAGGTTGACGCGTGTGAGCAATTGTGGTTTCATCGCAGTAATTATAACCACGGTTTGGGACCGGCAAGTTTTTACTCTTTAGTGCATGCAATACATCAGCATTCTCTACTAGATACATAAACTCGCATTGATCTTCTACAAGATGTCACCGATCCTTATCTACAACACTACGGGCGGGATAATGAGACTACTCCCGCAAGAGGCTTCAAAATATTCCAGTAACCCACCTCAGTCTGCACCTGACGCAACAGAGCTCGACACAAATAATTCGACACTGCACTCTGACGCTCAGCAACAACAGGAAATGAAGGCCGGTTTGCCACAGTACCATATCAACGGTGTGGAATTGAGATGGAGTCCAGCCTGCAATATCATCCCCCAATATCCCATACGAATTGTACGTCTACATTCTCTATTTCAAACTGACAGCTGAGATGTATTCCAAACCGTTTGATAGTGAATTACAGCATCACCTGATCATGTAAAATACCGCGAATGTCTGTAGGATGTGCTTTCGACTCGACGACCCCTACTAACACAAGTGCTAGACGGGACTAAAAGACACGAAAGAGAGCACTGTGGTTGTGAGGGATCAGGTTGGGCTGGACCAGTTGGTCATGCATGTGAAATGGAGGCGATGTGGGAACCACCTGGAGAAAGACGATCTTGAACCACTCGACATCTTCGATGGTCTGGGTCGTGAGGGAAAACAACAGGGTGTCATATTCGAGGAGTACGTGGGTTGTAGAACGGATGGGGATTGTGAGAACGAGGACGATGATGAGGAAGTAGATGTATTTTCGCCCGTCTTTGTCCAGGTAGACGTACTCGGTGCTACTGATGCCGCTGTCTACGAAGATGACGAGGACGCCGAGACGGAAGTTGACGAGAAGGTCGGCGTCCGACCTTGTGTCGGAAGGCAATATGTCTGGCAAGTTTAGGACGGCCACTAGAGGGCTGTCACTACTAACAGTCACTACATCCTTGAATGAACAATCCAACTTTGAATCTACCAAATTTTCTCATCGCCATGCCTGTTTCTCTAACCATACTGGCTATGGTAAATTTCTTCAAGTCTGCCATCAATTGTTAGTCGTCTAATTCGTACACCAAAGCGACGTTATGGCAAGCATCGTCAGATGATCCACTTCCCGCTTCGAAACCATGGTTCGTCCCTTCTGCCTCGCTACAGTCAAGCCTATGAACGAGCAGCAATCGATACTGCCGCGTAGGAGTCACAGAAAAGCCATAATATATATATGGCAGCAACCTCTCGATTAAATTGTCATCCGATCCTAATCTTCTTCACTGTCTCCAACTGTCTTCACCACCACTACGCTCGCCTTCCAAGCCACTTATAACAACAACACCAAAATGCCTGCACAAATTCAACGCCGGCATTCAAATATCCTGAAAACATGGCATATCGCTACTCTAGCACCGGGCTTCGATGCAAGTCGCCTTGATTTTCCAATCCACGTTGTAAGTTCTGCTTTCCGATCCAGACTCGAAGAAGTAGAAGAATGTAGCTAAGAAGACATGAACAGGCCACCAATGACAACAGGGACAAGATCCACGTTTCTTCACAAGAGAAACTAGATACCCTTCTCGCCAGGCATCGGGATAATGAATCCCAAAAGTCGTCTACACTGGCTTCGTCGCCACAACGGAGCGACAGTGTGGTTGGGTCGTTGAGACTGAACCCTCAACTGTACTGCACCGACATAGATGGTATCAGTATCAGTTCCTCCGCCTCGTCGGAAACTTCGGCAAGTGAAGAGTATGATACCCCATTATCCGAGCATTTTGTCAATGGAGAAATCGTATGCACAGGTGGCCTTACTCTTGAGGCTCGAGATTTGACGCAGATTGAAAACGAGGCGAAAGATTTGGTGTTTAGCCGTGGACGTTCTGTGAGTATGGCTGTGAGGAGAAGGTACAGGAAGAAGACTACTGGGGTACATAAGGTGAAGAAGTTTGTGTCTAGTTTCTTCAAACATGTTGGTGGTCTGTGTTACAGTGCATAGTAGGGGCGATTTGGGGCTCCCTGATCTCAATAATTAGATTCTTTAGACTTGTCTTAGTAGACTATGTTTTGTGTGATTTTTGTGAAGCATTTCCGCTCCGCTCTGAAGCATACCTGAGTAATAGAACTCTCATGTCACTGTAGAGTATTCTCTCGAATCGTAAATCGTGCACATACTCAAAGACTCGACTGTGTGCGCTTCGCTACCTTCAAAAAGACGTGGTGCGCCCGTGCGTCTATAGTGAAGATGAACCATAGTCCAGGCTGCCAGGGACCCGCTTTCCTCCTACTGCAACTATGTTCGCAACGAAGAAGGACCAGAGTTTCGATTTCCATAGAACCATAGTTCTGCCAGGAACTAATGAAAATTCCCTGCTCATTTCGTATATGAACAGCAGTCCTGAGCCCTCGAGACTTTATCTTCCTAACGATTTACCTAACGCTCCAACAGCCAACTAAAAGTCATTCCAACTATTAAAATGTCAGCATACATCGAAACCGCATGGCCTTGCCAGCAGAACCTTGATATCCGCGAGATCCAAGCAACACCTGTCGCCCTTGTCAGGTTCCCTCTGCAGATTGTAAGTAGCTCACGGCCCTTCCCATGTGATGAAAGAACATTCCCGAGCGGTATTCCTTGCTCGAATTCTATGAAACTTACCAACGTTGCCATAGACTGGGCTGAATTACGAGTCTCCATCGACATGCCCAGACATCGAACTGGTGGAGACCAGTACCCACCTTGCATGGCTGGTGGAAAAGTACGAACTCTTTCTGGCGAGGAAAAGGCTTGCGCGCCTATCTGATACTCCTACAACAGTCGATGTGGGACTACCATGTGATGGTCATTCTTGTGGATTGATCGAATCGAAACCAAGAACCTTCGAAGTCGGCTATTACGTCGCCCCAGGAATGCCTGAGGCAAGTGACGAATGGCTAGTTCATAAGCCATACGATCCCTTAGTAGACACCCATACGGAACGACTACCAGTCGCCTCGACGCCTACGTCGCGAACTCTATCTACTCCTGGGACGCGAACTCTATCGGCTCCTGAGACGCCTGTCAGACCCCCGGACAGACCAGAGACTCGGGTGGTCCATGCAGGTACGGCACATGGTGTGGCTATGACTGGGCTGGATGCAAGGCGGAGAGCGTAGATGGCACTGGTTGCATTCTGGGCATTTCGAATATACCTTCAACTAGCTGCCATGCAGATGTGCCAGTGAAATACGTATTGCTACCAGTGTTAGACGGACAGTAATGCGATATCAGTTCATAGTCTCTATAGTTTATCAGTTGTTCCAGATCATCCTTGACACATCCAAGCGCTCACATCATCGGTCGTTCATGGCGCGTCGCCAGGTGGTAGACGGTAGTAAATTGTTCTTTTCCAAGACTCATCTAGAATACACATGCCTACCCCTCACGTCCATCGCCATGCGCTCTCGCTCTATATTTACAAAGTATCCTTGAGGAGCTTGTTCATCTTGGCCATCTTGGCGGCGACAGACTTGTCAATGGTGCGGTCGGCGATCTCGACGATGAGTCCACCACGGATCTCGGGGTTGACCTTGGGAACGACCTTGAGGGTCTGGCCATTCTGGACGTATTGCGAGTTCTTGATGGCGTTCTCGAGGCGGGAAATGGTCTTGTTGTCGAGAGGCTGCGTCGTGTCAGTTATAGTTCTAGCTCTCTTGCCGAGTCCTCCAGCTGTGTTGTTCCATGCCATGTCAGAGTCAACGTACCGCAGCGCTGGTAACGGTAAGCTCAACCTCGCCGCGGTGGGCACCCATGAGCACACCGAACTTCTCTACGACACCCTGTAGTACGCCCAATCGGTTGTTCTCGGCCAGTGTGCTGAGGAAGTTCTTGACGATGCCGTCCTTGTCGGCGCTGCCAATGTGCTTCTGGAGCTCCTGGACAATCTGCTGCTTGTCGGAGACGGAGAGCGAGGGAGCGTGGAGGATCTGGCTGAGCTTGGCGTCCTTTTGGAAAACACCCTGGAGAGCCTGGAGCGACTTCGCGGTGGGGTCGAGGGCGTTGGTCTTCGCGGCCGCGGTGTACTACCACAATTGTTAGCCAAAGCTCTTGCCCAGCCATTGGCCCGCATTCCATCCTCGTATCATCGCCAATATGCCAATTGAAGTCGTGGAAGGCGTACCAGAGCACTCGCGTAGGTTCCGTCAACGCCGAAGAGGGCAACCGGGGGCTTGTTGGCAGAGCCAGTTGGGGCAGCGGCGGCAGCGTAGCTTCGGGTTGCGGCGTAGCGGGCGGCCATTGGGGCGCGGGGCGCACCAGCCCGGAAAGCGGTGCTGAAGGCACGAGCTGCAGACATGGTCGGTAGAGGGGAGATGGATTGCGGGATGGGGCAGCTTTCGGGGCGCGGGTGCAGTTGAGGATGCTGCGATGAGGTTTCTGAGCCCGGCTCGGCACTGGCTGGGGCTAGCACCGATTGGGCCGCGGCTTCTCTACCCCAACTACAACTCCATAACAATTCTTTGGCAATTTTCATCTGCATGCACCCACTCGTTGCTCGAGTGACATCCTGAGGCAAAACTCACGATGGTATACAAACTTGCCCCATGACTACTGAACACCATCATGATCGAGCGACAACCTCGTCGCGACGACCCCTCCAGGACCGTGTAGATGGGTCTTGGCATGTGGTGTCTAACATATACACTGCCCACGAGGTACATCGCCTATCGGCACAACACCAAGCTCTCTCGGAGAGCGTTGGTCCTTACTCCTTCACCTCACCATGGGCGTATATTGCGAACACTGCGTCACGAGGACTATGGAGATACCCCACTTCGAGTCTAGCAGCAGTCCTCCCTCACCTTCACATATCCTCTTTCCTGCGTAGTTACTAGCCTTCAGTCTACCTTACTCTCCTCCTACGATTTGACAACCCTTTCCGTATAAAGTAAAGAACCATGGCCAGAATGGATACTCCATTTGAGCGACCGCAAACACCTCCATGCTCGTATCCCCTTACGCCACCTTCCACCGGCGGTCCGAGGAAACGCGTGCGCTTCAGCGATGTTGAAGATTTCAAAAGCAAGGCAACACGCGCTAACGCTGTTAGTGAAGGGGAGTCACCTGATACCTTTTTCGAAGAGCTCGAGGAAGCTTTTGATACCGAGACCAGCAATGGTAGCGACGATAGCGAGAGTATTCCACCAGCAAGCAACACCGTCCCTCCGTCTCCAACTTCGACAGGCTTCTCCAAGACCAAGCCCACAGCTCTCGAGAAGCACAGCATGTTCGCCTCTTTAGCCTTCACTATCGATGCACCTACCACTATCACTGAGCCGTTCCGCTTCATGGACCTCCCTATTTCCATCCGCAACCAGATCTATGCGCACCTCCTCGTCGTCCCGGGTCTGATATGTGTTCGTCAGAAGCGCACTATATTTCACAACGAAAAGACAGCATTCCTCTACACCGAGCGCCGCGAGTTTCTCCCCGGTATTGCATACGCCCTCGTCCACCTCCACGTTGACGAACACAAGACTCGTTTTGCGCTTGTCGGCCGCACCAATATCAACATCCTCCGTGTCAGTAAGGAGGTTTTCGCCGAAGCCAAAGCTGTTCTATATGGCAAGAATGCATTCGAGGTCGTCAGACCCACAAACGAGCTCTGCCCGCCGCCTGACTATAGTGTTAGGCTTTTCCCTACAGGATGTCAGCGTCTTGTTACTCAGCTCAACATTAAGATCCGCTCCTTCTATGACCTCCATTGGCTGCTAAGTGGTGGTTACAACGACATGAAGAACCACTACCGCGGTCTTGTTTCTCTCAACCTGATTTTGGAGATGGACTCGGTGAGTAAGGGCTTTGGTAAGACTTGGACTAGGATGGGCGTCGAGGAGAAGTGGGAGTGTTATGTTCAGCGTCTCCAGGGAGAAGTGGCGAAAGAGCTCTCCAAGAAGACGCAGGTCAAGGGCACAGACATCAAGACTGTTCCGGCTTGGATGAATCTCCGCATCCTATTCTCGGGTGAGGGATACGATGAGAGAATGGGTACCGTTGCCGATGTCGGAGACGTGCAGCGGGTAAAGCAGGACGAAATGAGACAAGGTTTGACAGAGGCTTGGGAGTTGTTCAAGAAGCGGGCGAAGTAGGAGGGAGGTAGTTGAGTTATGATTAGACTGACAAGGTATGGGCACATCGTGACGTCTAACAAGGCGCACAAGTCTTACTAGAGTACGCTATCGCGGAACACATTGGATGGGGAAGCAGTTTTTGGATGATCTTGCAATTATGCTTTTCGGATTGGTTTATTATCAGGTACATAGATTAGAAGCATTACGCATTAAAACACTATGCGAACGTTTTGTTCATTTCCAGTTCCAAGTATATCCTCCCAGTGTCCAATGTAGTGCCTTCCCGTATTTCCAAGTCGTTATATATCCCAGTGTCCATTGTTGTCCGAATACCAAGCGCCGCGCTACATGCATCAAGTCGTGATTAACCCATTTAAACTTTTATCCCGTTGCTCACAGTAGTAATGTGAGCCACCCCGCAGCGCCAACGATCAAACTCTCAATCCATTTATCCAAACCACCAACGTGCGTAGATGATCCAAGTGCCTTACTAGTCTCTCCAATTCCGCTCGCGATCAAGTCTCCAGCATCGCGGCTTCGTGTTGTAGAAGCTGAACTTGAACGCGTCGTACTGGCGCTGCTGCTCTTCGGTAGCTTAGGAATGGTGCTGGTTTGCCCATTGATGATCAGGGCAGTTCCTTGCGAGTCCAGAGAGTAGGTTGTCCCATCAATCTCGATTGATGAACCGGGTACGAGTGTTGTTCCGTCGTTCAGGACGTATTCCGTTGTTCCGCCTGTAACAGTATGTGTGTATGTCACACCGTTGATGGTCAAGGCTGGAGCGTCGGTGATACCAGAGCCGGGTGCTGCCAAAGTGGATGTAACGCCGTTGACGACGATGATGGTACCAGATGCGCTCGTGGGCATAGAATATGTAGTCCCGGAGATAGTAAGGACGCCACCTGGGGTAAGAGTTTGGTCCGGAGCGATGACATAGGCTGTCGTGCCGCTGACAACTTGCGCAGTAACGGATCTCCCTCCATCAAGAGTCACAACAGATTGTCCCGCCCCCAACACCGATGTCTGCCCGTTGATCAAGATGGTGGAACCTTTTCCATTCTCAGGCATACTGTAGGTCGTGCCATCAACGATGAGCGTGCTTCCTGCGCTTAGCGTCTGACCGGGTGCTACAACGAAGACTGTTGAGCCTCCCACGACAGTCGCTGAGACGGTTTGATCGTCCACTGTAATAACGGGCGCTCCAGTTACCACAGGAACATTTGCAATGGTCTGCGTAGCACCATTGACGATGGCCATACCGTTCGGCTCCATACTGACTGTGTTTCCGTTGATGGTGATGGCAGGGCCTCCTGGCTGCAGTGTCGCAGATCCAAGGATATACTCTCCTCGTGAATTTGGCGTGATAACACCTCCGCCCACCATAAGAACAGGCAGGCCTTGCGTCGTTGCCGGATTGAAAGGAACCGTACTTCCGTCTACAACGATTCGTGTTCCACCACCATCCGAGGGCACCACCACAGGCACGCCGTTGATAATCTTCGTCTGCCCTTGTGTCAACGTTTCGGATCCAATCACGATAATCGGAGGAACTGGATTATGATTCTGTCCATTCTGATCATCCGGCTCGGCCTGGGTTGGTTTGGGAGTGTTCACTGGGAAGACAACTCCACCAATCGTCACGCTTCTAGTCGTAGTCGCTCCTGGATTTCCGTTTGTCCAAATGGAAGGGTTATCGTGGTTGAATGTATTCACAACGTCTGGAACACTCGGTGAGGTTTTCCCGCCACCTTGAGTCGGCTTGACCGTGTCGTCGGGTATTCTGTCAGGTTGGCTAGGCGATGGAGCATCGTTGTCATGCTGATTGGGATCGGGTTTATTTGTGGGAGTGGGATCCGCTATCTTGTTTGACATCGTAGGCTCTGCGACATCCTTTGTTGCTGTATCTTGACACCTTAAACAACCTCGAACCGTGACGTGAACAGACGTGGACTCAAAGCTGGTCGCAATATATGTCCCTGTCAAAGGTGACAAGAAGATGGGAAATGGCGATGGAGGCGGTGCGGCTGGCGGAATGAGTCCTGTAGGTCTAGGACGCAAGAACGATTCGGGCGGTCTACTGTAGCTACAAGTAGCAATATCTGAGCCGCGGAATTGACTTTGGATAGCTGGGTCTTGCTTTAGATGGTCAATTAGTTTCGAGGGGAGTGGAACAGGTTCGCCCGAGGGTGTGCTTTCAGGAGCCTTCCCTGTGTAAGTAGCAATGAAGTAACTCCATTCTTTGGTTTTTGTGCTTGCGGGTTGCCAACTCGTTAAGGGCTTGACTGTTGGCGAACAATACCCTTGGGTCAGATTGCTATCCGGCCAGTAAATCTCATGGTAATCATCCAAGGCACCAGAGAGTCGGTTGTATATAACGTAAGTTGGACCTGCGTCGAGGTGGACGATTACCCCTGGTGTTGGTTGTACTGTGAACGTCGGTGTCGCGCGTGTGATTAATTGGCCATTAGCTCCGGTAACAGTCTTTGTCTGGTTGACAGTACGCTCCTCTGTAACGACAGTCTCGACAGTATTGTTGTACATGTAAGTCGAGTACTCTGTAACGATGGTCTCGGTTACCACTGTGCTAGTCCATGGGTTGTAAAACTCCCCCGGTACGTAGGACGTGGTTATAGGACCATACCCTGCGATGATACACCCGGTACACGCTCCATTGGGTACCGAAGAATTGGCAAAAACTGACGTGATATCTGAAAGGGGCGGTGCACTTCCAGAGGCAGTGTATGTGACAACCGTAGGTGTCACTTGAGAGATGGAGTTGGTGCGATTTGTGTAGATAGGAACCCGAGGAGGAGTGGGCAGATGTGGAGGAACATTGTGGTAAACCGACGATGTTATGTCCAACGGCGCAGGCAAAGAAGTGCTCACATCGTAAGCTGGACCTGGTACGGCCGCTGGAGTAACAGCAATAGGCGCATGTAAAGTAGTTGAGTCGAGCAGTACCGTGCTACTTGGCGGCGCCATCACTGATGTGTTATTACCTGAACACGTCAATTTTGATGGTCTCAAGACGGACTCTGCTGCATACCATCTGCGGATTGTTAGCCACCTGAAACTTGCCTGACAAAAATGACGTACCTCTCCTGTTGTGTATGTTCGTATCTGAGCCCGCCACAACCAGCGCAGGCCCCAGTAGACTGACAAGTCTCCGCATCTTGCGATGATCCTTCTACACCAAGCGAGTGACAGTGTAAAGGTCAGGCAAGATGTCGCACATGCAAAAGAGCACTGTAAGAGCGAAAATAGCGAGATTCAGCCCAAAACAGTTCAGATTCCAATCATTCGATGAAGGCTATTCGTACGCATGATCAGCTTGCGATCCATGCACAGCCCTAGTGGTAGCTACGCTTAGCGGAAACACGAGGCACATACCGTTGACGCGTATGACTGCCAGGGCATCTTCCAGCCCCGGTCTGCCGTGCTGATCAACTGGACATACCATGTATATCCGCCTAAATTCAAGCTTCGCGCTGACATGGTCCGCAGTGCTCTGGGAAACACCTGCGGCGGTCGACGAAGGCGTAGTCAGTACCTAGGTAGTGTCATGGGCGAGGCTTGTTTCACATTCGTGGCGTCAATCGGTATACCCTATATGACCTAAAAGATCTGTCCCGCAAGACCGGTCGGATCTTGAGTCGGATTGCTGTAGACTGGAGCAACGAACTACTAGGTTTGCCCTTTAGGGCCAAGTGAAGAGATTGCTAGGCTAGGTGTTAAGGTTCTCGGCGAACACAATTCGAGCTTGTAGGTAATAGTTCTGAATGGAACAAGGCGTGCGCATCTAGCCAACTCAACCAAGATGGGTGAGTGGGCACTGCTGACTGCCTGCATGTCTCGAGTGCTATCAAAAGAGAACATCTCATAGCATGACGGAGGCGTCGAGGTGTGGCCGCTTGGGCCGGGATAGTGTCAAAAGGAGGCTGATACGATGAGCTGGGGAATAGTTCCAAAGGTCCGTCATTGGTGGGGAGGCTGACTAAACTGTGCGCTACCCCTTAGCATGCCACCGGATGCGCCTCTCCCATGAGACCTCGTATTGCGCTCGACGAACCTTGGAAACTAGCCATGCCTTCAATGCTGCGGTCATCGAATCATGCTGCATAGCTTATGGCGGCCTAACGACTAGGGCGTGGGCGATCGTCACGCAGCGCCCGCACCTGTTGTGGTGGGTTCTTGGACAAAACGTCCATGAACCGCTCTGGACTCCAGGGCTTCCGACAGCCCAGGGACCGCACTCCCGGTATCAGAGCTGACTCGACCTGGGGTCCCAAAATCTTCCGATAGACAACTGCGCCATGTGCTACCTGCTTCAGACCGTCTGAGCCGACGATCATTCGCTTCCAGGTCCATGTAGAGACATCGGCCATCCTTCACTACTGTTCGCTCGCTACACAATGCGCCTCACAGCGCGAGCTACCGAGGCCCCGGAGCCGTATGTCGTGCCTCCTTCGGATAAGTTTGACGGCGCGGATGGAAGCTGGAGCACCTTCAAGATAAGCGTTGGAACACCAGGGCAAGACTTTCGTGTGTTGCCGAGCACAAAGGGAGGCGTCACATACGTCATTGCCGAAGAAGGATGTCTGGAGGGAGTCGACCCGACGAATTGCCCACAACTCCGAGGAATAGAGGTTTTCCAGAGCACGCAAAGCACCGGCTTCCAGGTCAACGCATCGACAACATGGTCGGCGATTGGACAATACGACGTGGATTTGGAGGACGCACTCAACTACACAGGGAGAGGACTGTTTGGCCTAGACACTGTCACGCTAGGCGCAGCTGCGGATAGCAGCTCCTCTATATCCTTGACGCGCCAGGTCGTTGCTGCCGTTGCCGATCCAGACTACTACTTGGGACTCCTTGGTCTTGGCCAGGCAAAGTCCAGCTTCAACAGTGGGAGCCAGCCCATCGACTCTTTCCTCTACCAGCTGCGCGAGAGCAAAAAGATTCCCAGTTTCGCCTATGCGTACACAGCCGGCGCAACCTACAGATTGAAATCCGTC